TTTACTGTGAAAACCCTGGACCCTAACACGTGGTACCAGTTCAGGATAATAGCAGTTAATGAGCAGGGGCAGTCCCCCCCTAGCCTCCCCTCAGACAGGGTCAGGACTGTCAAGACTAAAGGTATGACCGTTGGTTCCTATGGAGCTGGTTATTATTGATATCCATTAGGGTGGATGTCACCTGTTACTAAGAAACGGTTTCTATTGGAGACTGACACTGCCAGTGGTTAGCGGAATATCTAATTAACACCTTTTATTAGTTAACACTTCTTTATTAATTAGATGATGTTGATGGGCGGAGTCTTATGCCACCTGTTGATGATTTGTCCCGTACCTCCTCAGCAGTGGTCCTGGAGACTAACGACTCCTTCATAAGACAAGACTCTGTTCATAGTAACTATGAACTCCTCTCTGGGGAACTGGGAAGGTATTAGTGTCTGTTATCATATTAGTTGATTACTATTATTATTAACAGAGGTAGGTTTGGAATAGTTCGGAGTTGTGTGAGTAAGGTCACTGGGTCAGCTGCTGCTGCCAAGTACCTCAAGGAGAGTCATGACGTGCTTCAAGAAGTGAAGATATTGCGTAATTTGTCATCAGGCCCCTCCCCCTCACCTCATGTAATATTATTCATTGATGCACTCATTACTGATGAGAATATAGTCATCATTACTGAAGTGTAAGTTTATTAATCATTGTTTATTATTATTATTATTATTATTATTATTATTATTAATTCCAGTGCTGATGGGGGTCAGCTAATAGATTACATTCTAAGGATGTACAACAGTTTAAACGAACTATTGATAGTTGAATACGTGAAGCAGCTCCTCTCTGCCCTGGACTATATTCATGAAAGACAAATAGTTCATCTTGATGTCAAGGTATTAATTTATTATTATTATTATTATTATATTGTTACTAATAATAGCCTGAGAATCTATTAATAGCATCAGAGGTGGCTCCTATACTCAAGTTAACTGATTTTGGTTCTGCTCAGGAGGTTCCTTATGCTGGTCTATCAGTTAGACCAGACTTGATAGAGTTCTCTTCTCCTGAGGTTGTGTTTGACGATAATGTCACCAAATGCACTGACCTCTGGAGCACAGGTGTAATCACATATCTACTGTGAGTTTATTTATTCATTTATTCATTTATTTATTTATTTATTATAGTTTGTCAGGTGTGTCTCCATTTTTTCACGAGTATCCATCAGTTAGTTCCCAGAGGTTAAGCAGAGCCCAATATGATCTATCACTCCAACTCTTCCACTCAACTTCACCTCAAGCTATTGACTTCATTTCAGCTTTACTGAAGAAACAACCAGCGTAAGTTTAAACAGCACAATAGCAGCAGCAGCAACAGAAGAAATAATGTATAATTATAAATATTTTTTAAAAACCATGGACTATAGTCTTGGGTATTTTTCAAAAATTTGCCAGTTTTTAAAATGGTCATAACTCGAAAATTTGAGCTTGGAATTGACTCAAACTTTCTACACAGTATAAAGGCACCCTAATATTATTTTTAATATTTTTAATATTATTTTTAATATTTTTTGATAGGGAAAGACTGACAGCTGCTAGTGCTTTGGAACACCAGTGGATAAAAGTATTGAATTAATTGATGAATTGATCTTTATATTGGTGTTATTTGTTCAGAGCTGCACATCAGATAAACAGATTACTGACATCAGCCTCTCAAGATTAACTGTCTTTCAGGCAAGGAGAAAGCTACAGGTCCAATCAAAAGCAGTCAAGACAACAGTGATATTCAACCCAAGCCAAACTAGACCACAATCTATTGGCAATGAGTCTGATACTGCTGATACTATTGCTGGTAATTATGGTAATAGATATTAATCATTGATTATATACTTGATAGAATCAGCTCCATTGTTTGAAGGAGGTACAGAAGAGATTCAGGCTCCAGTGGGTGCGTCAGTGACCATAGAGTGGGATTACACTGGTCTACCGGCTCCCTCCGTTCAATGGGAACACAACGAGAGAGCAGTGGTGCCCTCCCGGCGGGTACAGATGTCTACAATACAGGGAGTCACTAGACTGAGTATTGTTGAACTGGTAAAGGCTGATGAAGGGACCTATACTTGTTGTATATTGAATAGTCTTGGTAGTGACATTAGGAACTGTGCATTGATAGTCATTGGTAAGCATTCATGTACACTTTGTTGTATAGAAAGTTTGAGTTGATTTTGATTAATTTCAAGTTATGACTATCAGACTAGGAGAGAATGCCCCACTATTATTGCATTGTCCTGTCCTTATTAGCTCATGCTCTTATTATTAATAGATAAACCAGCTCCTCCTTCCAGTGTATCTGGTGTATTGCTGGGTAGTTCTACTTCAGTTCTTGTCTCATGGCTCCCTCCCATTAATGATGGTCATTCTCCTATTCTTCATTACTCTCTTGACACAAGACTAGTTGATGATACTGACTGGTCTCTTGTTCAAGAGAGAATCGATGGAGCAGCTTATGTAGTTGATGACCTTCTTCCAGGGAAGAGCTACTTATTCAGAGTATCATCAACTAACGTCATTGGCACCAGCCAGTTCAGTAAACCTTCATCACCAATACTCATCACCAATGACGATTGTAAGGATGATACAGTAACTTATTTACTTATTTATTAATTTATTGATAGATTCCCCTCCTGGTTCAAGCCCTCTAGTAACTGATCTTCAAGTTCGTTCATCTGATTTTAATTTAGAATACGAAATAATTAATGAAATTGGAAGGTTAATTTATTATTATTATTATTGTTATTATTATTATTATTATATTAATAGAGGTTCATTCTCTGTGGTTTATGAGTGTACTGAACTTACTACTGATAGACCTTTTGCTGCTAAATTCATTAAATGTTCAAATGATGATCAGTTCTCGGTGGCTTTGAGAGAATTTGAAATGATCAAAAACGTGACTCATCCAAGAATTGCCAGCCTTGAGGATGCTTTCCGATCAGAGAATCATGTCATACTGGTACTCCAATAGTAAGTAGATACCAATTAAGCTGAATATATCGTCATCATCTTTACCTGCACCCTCAGTGTGCCCGGTGGTGACTTATTCAATTATATTACCAGTAGTGGCCCTATTGATGAGAGACAGTCAGCCAGGTACATCAGACACATCCTGGAAGGACTGGAGTATCTTCACAATAGGAATATATTATTAATCAACATTGCAGTGAGTACACATACATGTACCTCATCATCATCATCATCATCATCATCATCATCATCATTATTATTATTATTATTATTATAGCCGGAGAACCTGGTCCTTGGTGTCGGGTTACAGGAAGTTAAGATTATTGATTTCTCTCATTCAAAGTATCTTCACTCAAACCCACAGCTGGAGATTTTACCGCAACAGATTAACTACTTATGTATGTGTACAAGTACATGTATTTTTATTTATTTATTTAATTCATTTAAATTAGCTCCTGAAGCTTTGCAATGTAGTCCATTAGCTTTATCTACTGACTTATGGAGTGTGGGGGCGGTGGCTTTATTTATGTAAGTATTGTTGTTTATTGTTTATTGTTATTGTTGTTTGTTGTTAGGTTGTCTGGTCAGTGTCCGTTTGTATCAGACACAAGGGATCAACTAATTAATAATATTCATACTCTTAATATTAATTATAAAATAAATCCAATTATTCAGAGACTCTCCCTAGATTGCACTAACATGATATTTGATGGATTATTACTAACCAATGAAAGGTACGCACACGCACACACACACACACACACACACACACACACACACACACACACACACACACACACACACATACACACACACACACACACACACACATACACACACACACACGCACACACACACACACACACACGCACACACACACACACACACACACACGCACACACACACGCACACACGCGCGCACACACACACACATGATAATCAAGATAATGAATAATGTACATGTAGTTGGACACTCTCTATAGCGTACACCTCCATTTAACGGACAGCACCTAGTGTACCAATAACATTCCTTACTGTATAAAATAACCTCCACATAAAGGACACCTCTGTATAACAGAGACACAGTGTCCATTATATAGAGGCTAGTCTGTATCCTTATTATGTTTATTATCTTTGTTAACAGTAAACGTTTGAGCAGTCACCAGTGTCAGAGACACAGGTGGTTGCAGGCGGGGGTCAGTAGCACTGCCCTAGTGCCCCAACTACAGAGCATGAACACAATGGAACAGGTTCAGTACTTTATGGATAAATATCCAACACATTTTCATTCTAACTCTGATCCAATTTAATACATATCAATAATTATCATTATTATTATTATTAATTAATGACACTATCGTATTATCACATGCAGTAAATTTTATCGATTTTTTAATCACTTTTAAAGCTTTAATTGATTTTATTATAATTTTGTGTTGTCCCTAGACTATTGCAAAGTTTTTATTAATTATTATTAAACGATCATGGTATTTCATTATAATTTTATCTTCATTACAATCAACCGACAGTCCACTAGAATGAAATAAAATAATTTAATGAAAATACACAGTATATGTACATACCTTTAGTCCACCGCCAGAGCCCTGCTGTCTGTTAGTGGCCTCTGCTCTTCTTTCTGTTTCTTCTCTTCTCTCTTGTTTAGCTCTCAAAAGTTCAGGATTCTTAATACCTTTACTTTCATTCTAATACACAACATGATATAAATAGACACTCTTCAGTTTATGATTGTGGCTACTTCTTTCTGTCTTTTCATTGCTGCTTCAGCCTGTCTCTCTCTCCTTGCTTCCTTTTAAAACTTTACACTAGCAACAAGGTGAAGGAAAGGAACTCACTAGGTCTTCCTGGGGAGGCTCATCTGCCTCAAATCCAAAGCAGTTACCCATAGCCTAACTTTACAGTCCAGTTGGCACTTGGCACTTGCCAGTTGGACGGGAAATTCTCCCGGAAAGCTCAAAACTGCATTTTTTTTCCGGGGAAAATGTAATTTATAGAACTACCCCGGGGAAAATGTAATTTACAGAACTACCCGGGGGAAAATGTAATTTATAGAACTACCCGGGGGAAAAGGCTGCATGCATGCATTAGGCAGTCCATGGCTAATACATACATGTAATAGCAGCTCCACCCTGTTGAATGTTGAATTGTTGATGATGTTATGATAATCTCAGGTCAGGTATGGTTCTGGAGTTGTTCTTATTGCTGAGTGTCCTTCTCCTACCTCCTGTTAGAGGGGACAAATTAGAGTTCGTATCAATTGTAAGATCCTTTCTTCTATACATTTAAACTTACAGCTCCTGCCCTCGAGTAGGTGTTTAGACACGGGGCCAGGTCTCCTACTGGACCATACAAGAATGACATTTATAAAGAATATGACTGGCCACAGGGATATGGACAACTCTCCATTGTAAGATAAAGATTAACTTATTTATTTATGTATTAAAATAAATTTTAATTATTATTAGGAGGGAATGAAAGAAGAATATAATTTAGGTAAATTATTTCAAAGTCGATATCTTGAGTCCGGCTTTATGAATGCAACATACAACAGAACACAAGTAAATAAATGAATAATTAGATAAATGGATTATTGTTATTATTAGATATATGTTCGCAGTACTCAATATGACAGGACGATAATGAGTGCCCAATGTGTACTGGCAGCAATGTATCCTCCTACTGAAGAAGAGGTAGTGAGGGAGGGAGAGAGAGGGAAGGAGAGAGAGGGAAGGAGGGAGAGAGAGAGAGAAGGTGTTATCATACTCCTTTATGACACTATTAGGAGTTCCAGCCAGGTCTTGATTGGCAGCCTATTCCAGTTCACTCTACGATCGGACCTGATTATGTAATTATACATGTACAGTATAGCCTCTCTTAATGGACACTCTCTATAGCGTACACCTCCATTTAACGGACAGCACCTAGTATACCAATTACATTCCTTACTGTATAAAATAACCTCCACATAAAGGACACCTCTGTATAACAGAGACACTTTTTTGTACCAAAGTGTCCATTATATAGAGGCTAGTCTGTACAACATAATAATAATAATAATAATAATAATAATAATCTTTTAAAATAGTTATTAAGAGGTTTTGCTTCTAAACTTTGTCCTCGTTATGAACTGCTAAAAAACCAAACAGAGAAATCATCAGGTTACCTAGCAACATGGAATGACAACAAGGAATTGTTTGTTGAGCTATCAAACTATACTGGGGAACCTGTCAACCTTACCAACATATGGCATATACAGGACACCCTGTTCCAACAGGTAGTGATGTACATACTAATAATAATAATAATAATAAATATTAATATTAATATAGTGGTATGCTAATTACACTACTCCATATTGGTACACTACTGAACTGATGGACAAATTACAGGAACTAGCAAATTATGTTTTATCATTACTTTTTGATAGTACCATGAAGAAACAATTAACAGGAGGTAAGCACTGGTAGGCTCCTGTGTATTGTTAATGATTAATGGTACAGGCCTGTGGGCTAACGAGGTTATTGAGAATATGGAGGATAAGTCTTCAAAGGAAAGTAATTTAACACAGAGAATGATCCTTTATTCAGCAGTAAGTCCATCACTGGTAATTAATGATACTATTATTAATATAGCATGATACTACTGTGGCTGCAATGTTGAGTGTCTTTAATTTATTTGATAAAAAGCAACCACTTTTTTCAGCTGCCTTTGTAATTGAACTATATTCAAATGATGACAAGTAATGAATTAGACTCACTGATATTGTTGTTGTTGATGTTACTTTATTTTATATAGTGGACATTATGTGAAGTTTTTATATCATAATGAAACTAAAAGTGATCAGTTTCATGAACTAACTCATCCAAACTGTGAAACCAACTGTCCATTGGGAAAATTGAAACAGTAATAATAATAATAATAATAACAATAACAAGTACCAACAACAATGATTAATAATAATAATAATAAAGTTGCTCAAAAATTGGGCCAAAGTCCCTGTACTGTAGTACATGTTCTTTGGCCAAATTTCGTCAAAAATGTAAAGTAGAAAATTCTGCTGCATATACATGTACTTACTGTATGTTGTGTAAAAACTTTGAGCTGATTCTGATCATATTATTATAATTATTAATTTATTGTTATTATTATTAATAGGATAATGAAGCCATATTTGGTAAGCAACATCAGTCAAATTGAAGAATTGTGTTCATTAGATGAACCAACTCAACCCACAAGCGGAAACAAAGCTACGGGTAAACAAAAAAGAAACAATTTATTTATCATCAACTTAATAGTGATAGGGTTAGGCGTGGCACTGGGTGTGGCTTTGGTGTTATTAATAACTACACTGGCTATATTGATCATATTTTGTATTCGTGTCAAGAGAAATAATGAATATCAAATGTTACAAGACAGCACTTCTTCAAATGATAAACTTTAATTAAAATATTTTAAAATTATTATCACATACAGATAGATTATACACACAAACAATAATAATAACAATAATAATAACAATAATAATAATAATAATAATAATAATAATAATAATAATAATTGCGTGTTAATGCTAATATTGACAAATTTGAGATAAAAAGAGAGAGAAAGGAAGAAGGTGTGGTCACAATTAAACATTAATTAATTAAACTCTCACTCATCACATCAGGATTAGTAAAAATGATTGAAGTGAATCTGTTGATTTCACTCATTGAGTTCAACGTGGCCACTTCATTCTTGGACCAAAGGAGATTTGGACCAAACACTATTGACAAATTATTAGCAGACATCTTGTTCTGTTCTTCATGAGCAAGTACCTATTATACAATAAATAAATAAAATAAATAAATGATGGATTACCTTAGCAATAAATTCCAATAAATATTTCATTATTTTATAGTTTAGATCAGGCAGTGAGAGTAGCAGTTCTTTACATTTATCAACCTTCTGTTCTTCAGTCAGTCCTCGGAGCGATGCTATTTTAGAATGAAGATTGAATGTCATGAGTGGCTCTGGTAATTCTCTCAAGAACATCTTCAATATTGTAGCCGTTAGGTGAGGATCAGCGTACGACTCAAAATCTACTGGTACTCCTAGAGAGGAATGTGATTATAAGCCCCACCTACTGCTCCACCCACCTTGATTAAAAGCTTTCTTAACTTCCTGTACATTATGATGTGAAGGAGTTCGTCTAAAAATACCAACCACATCCAGAGCATTGTTAGTCATGAACTCAATACACTGGGACATCACTAGGGGTATGTCCTCACCACTCCTGCTCTTTAAACTGAGAGGGAGGAGGGGAGAGGGGGAGGAGGGGGAGGGTGAGGAGGGGGGAGGATGAGGAGGGGGGAGAGGGAGGAGGGGGAGGAGAGGAGAGGGAGGAGGGGAGAGGGTGAGGTGATATGTAATACAATAGATACATACATTTCAATGGGTACTCCAAACTGTTGGGATCTGTTACTGGAGTCACATGGTAGGGTCTCCTCTATTGATATGTAGAAGGAGGAGCTTCTTGACTCAGTATTAGCAACATGAGGTCTGGGCGGGGTCTTTAACGTCCTGTCATATCTGGAGAAGAACACAATATTTGCATGATAGTATAAATAAAATGGAGAATTGTCTTCTAGCAATTCTTGACAAAGCTCAACTACAGTAGATATGTGAGTACATACTTCCTAATGTCTTCTGGTATGTCCATCTGGTCAGTGTAGAGGACGGTGTCCAGTTCAGCCAATCGATTGATGTACACCAACTTACGACCAAATTTAACACTATAATATATTAATAACTAGCCACACCCAGTCACAATACCTGATCAATGGTTTGAAAAATGTAGCGATAACTTTAATAAAAGTTGTTGGATGGACTATGTAGAACTTTTTGAGATTCTTCTTATACCTGGAGCGGAATGAATGAATGAATGAATGAATGAATGAATGAATGAATGGGATTAAAGTATAATCCACTAACTTTCTGTCCAGCTCTTTATAAATCTGATACAACCAGGAGAAGGTTGGTTTATTGGTGCTGCTTAGCCCATGATGAAAATAAACCAATGTATAGTCATTTTCAACATACTGATCCAAAGTGTACTTTAAATAACTAAAAACAACAACAAATTACAAAAACAACAACAAGTGACGTACGCAAATAAAGTATCATGACTGATTTGATAAGATGGTGGCAGTCTACAAGACGAAAATACAATGACTGGTCGACCAAACTTATCGGAGCCTAGTAATGTAATGAAATAAAAGAATATAACAATATTTTACCTGATACTGATAATATCTTGTATTTCTCCAGCCTACGGTACTCCATTGGTAACGAATTAACATAGGATTCAGACAGATTAGCCTTTTCTTGACTAAGAAATGATATAATTACAAAATTATCATCAAATTAACTCCAGCCAATGCTCCAGCTGGAGATGTACCTGGCTCCTCTTGATTGATAGGACTCCTCCATTACTCTTTCCTTGGCCTCTGGTGGTATGTCCAGCTTCAGATTATCAGTAAAGAGCGATCCTGTCTTCCTGTTGCTGGAGTTACCGTGAGATCTCTTCCTCAATACAACATTGCTTCTTTGAAGATTCGACTTTGTAGGAACTGGTAAAGAGTCATCGCTAAGACCTAGTTAATAACTAGTTATTAATAGTTACTAGTAGTTATTGACTCACCAACTGTGATGTATTCAACTGGTACTTCTCCTGATTCTGAGGTTCTTAGATTAATGACACTGTAATATAACTTATCAATTGTTTGGCCCAATATCAGCACAATATCACCTGAGGGGGGAGAGAGAGAGGGGGGAATATTAAAGTATGACAAATTTGTCAGGCAAAATTTCGTCAAAATTGTTCATTTGTTAGTATATTTAGTCATTTCACTATGATCCACACACTGTGGAATGTGGAAATGATTCCATCAAAGAAAACACAGTGACAAAATTGACGAAATGTTGCTTCAATAAAATTTATGGTCATAGACATAGTGTTAGAGTGACACCTCTAATCATTGATATCTCATTCTCTTTGACAGGAAGATAATCAACATCAGCTACACCTTTAGGACCATCCTCTGTCTCCTCCTCCTCCTCCTCTTCCTCGTATCGTATCAATAATGGCTCTTCTTCCAGAGACTCTGGTGGGTCAGTAGATAGAGGGCCAGGAGGCTCCTGTTCTATTATGACCAGGTTCTCTATATCATCAGAGATGACTCTTAACGGTCCTTCCGTTCCTCTACCAGGAGAGGAGACGAGAGGGTCTCCCGCAGGAATGTAAGGGACTGTCTCCCAATCATCTTCCTCTTCTAAAGGTTGGTAGCCTGTAGCCATATTAAATTATGTAGGTGTAGCTACTAGCTAGTTGATTAACGATAAATAACTACCCAATTAATATTCATCAATCAATAACTAGTTAATATTCATAACAGGATGCATCACGTGAGAAGAAGATCCCACGGAGTATACGTATAGTACGAGTACTGACTACTGAGCTGAGCATGAGTGGGTGGTGTTGAGGGTGTGGTTTGGGACACACCTTTTGCCTTCAATAAATCAATCCCAGAGAATCAATCCGCGGCAGTTGTAGTGCTCCGGCTCCGGCTGCAGTCTCTTTCTCTTCTAAAGTCTCTTGTGTCCTAATGGCTGAGGCCCATCAAGCAGTTGCCTTCCAGTTCTCAGTATCCGATGATGGAGTGTTGTTCCACGTTCAATTGAAACCTCTTGCTCTAGCTTTATGGAGACTGGCCCGTTCGCGTTGTCAAGGGATACGGAACACAATACTAAAAGGAATATTTCCTGCTACTCCATTATCATTGTTGTTTGTTTCTGCTGGAGTAGCTGCACTTCATGCAACAGGGACCCATCCTTCGATTGATACCATCTACTTTGGGCCAAGGTACATGTACATGTATACAGTTCAGTTTTGACACCTTCATTAGAGTACAAGTACATTATGTGAATTGTAAGGAAGTGGTTATTATTTTGGACAGTAGCTAGTCTATAACTGCCATGATCTAGTAATTAAGTGTGTAAATGTACATGTACTTGTAACTTATGTACATGTACATGTATATACATTATTATCATAGTTTTATGAGAAGGGAAGTTACATCATGCTCTGTTGTGGCTTTCAATTGCATTATTCACATTAGTAAATGTAATATTAGCCACCCATTCTTATTATTATTTATAGATGGTATAATTCAATGCCTATTTGGAATGTATCAATCTGTTTGATCGAGTCACTGTTCTTCTGGACTATACTCTGCTACATACAGAGGTACACACTAAAGTGTCTCCTCCTTTATAAAGGATGGATGTTTGATTCAAGAGGGTAAGACGTTTTGATGTTTATTTTCATTTTTATCTAAATTTGTAGGAAGAGGTCCCTCAAGACTAAATTGTTTGCCGTACGTTTAATTAATTAATCAATCAAAGATTGATCATCAGTTTATTCATTTCTTGTAGTTGTGTGTCAAGTTAGTTGCTGGCACTAGTAATCCTCTTCTTGGGAGCTACCAGCGGTCGTTGCCACGGTTACCGTTGCCAAGCATCGATGACACATGTTCAAGGGTACGTCCGAGAGAGAATGAGAATGGAATATTGAGAATGGAATATATTGATAGTATCTGGAATCAGTCCGCCCACTCTACAATGATGAAGACTATGAAGCTAAGAAGAAGTTAGTTGAGGATTTCAAGGTACAGTACACTTAATATAAGGAGACCACTACTGAGTCTTTATAGAGAGGACCAGCTTATAAACTGAATAGATATTTGTTCTTAAAGTCCTGGGCCTCTACTAATTATGTAAGTACAAGTGATACATGATAGTATCAGGTGTATAATGTATACATGTGAGTGTCTATCCCTTGTAGGTCACTGACTGGTGGGAGAAGTATGTGTATCAAGGTTGGAGAGGATCAGTAATGATCAATTCTAATTATTATGCTTGTGTATGTCGCTTATACTTATATTGTTAATTTATTTATTTGATTAAAGGATCATATAGGAGTGCTCAAGAATTCCAACCAGATCCCTCGTGTTGCTTGCTACATTCATGCTGCCATGAGAATGAAGGAAGACATTGAAAACGAGAAATTAAAACCGGTATAAGCTCTGTTAGCTATAGGCTACATCATTGGGAAGTGTCAGTTTTTAATTGTCACTAATTCTCACATCATAACTGTTGATATCTGATATGTTTCAAGTGTTATTATTACTAATTATCTGTTCTATAGTTGATTATCAATGACCTCATTCCTCTTTGCTCCAGTCAGTACACTAGGCTCTTTGGTACCTGCAGGATACCAGGAGAGAAAGAAGGTTAGATTGTACTGGGATTGTCCTTCCTATGTTCCTTATTGTAATGAACATGTTCAAACAAGAGGATTGATATATTCTCTTTGTTCTCTCTCTCTCTCTTCAGATGTGCTCTATCATGCTGCTCCAGAGGAAAGCAGACACATTGTTATCTACAGGCTGGGGAGGTGGTACAAGGTGAACTGTTACTCAAGGAATAAGCTATTGAACCCTGTTGACATACAATGGTACATCTTTAGATACTGTAGTATAGTTATATTGATGATACTGTAGGCAGTTGGAGCAGATAGTGAATGACACTGATGTGGAACTGATTCCTGGAGAGAAGCACCTAGCAGCATTGACCAGTGCTGAGAGGTACAATTACTGTTAATCATTATTATTATTATTATTATTATTATTATTATTATTATTATTATTATATTGCTTTAGGCCATTTTGGGCGTCAGTGAGATCAGAGTATTTCTCCAGTGGTGTTAATAGTGAATATATGACTGCCATTGAGAAAGCAGCTTTCTTTCTGAACCTTGATGACACATCACCTGAACTAACACTGGTATACTAATAATAATAATAATGATGATGATGATGATGATGATGATGATTTATAGGGTGGAGAGAACAGGTCAGAACTATTGACAGATTATTGTGTGAAGTTGCTTCATGGAAACGGGTACCTTTTCTGGTTTGATAAGTCATTCTCCTGTATATCCTTCAAGAAAGGAAGAGTATGTTAATCATTTATTATTATTATTATTATTATTATTATTATTATTGAAATAGATTGGAATCAATGCCGAACATTCCTGGTAACAATTAATGATTAATCATGATTATATTACATGATACACTCAGGGCTGATGCTCCAATCATTGGTCACATGCTGGAGTATATATCTCATATTGAGGAGGAGGCTCACTTGTATGATGAAGATGGTAACTGTATTGGTGAACATGATCAGAGCACACCTAAACCACAAAGAATGAAATGGAAAATATCAAAAGAAGTTAATACATACACACACCACACACTCATTTTGTAATGTTTATGAAGGTCCTTTTTTTCACAGTTATGAGCCTTTTATTACAAAGCTATAGCCCATGGTTTTTTTTTCCAAAAATAGCTCTGAAATCATCTCAAATTTTTTTATTATTTTTAGTGTCATGATAAAATAGAGTCAGCATATAAAAATGCTCAGTTGTCAGTCAGTGACATTGACCTTTATGTTAATCAACATGATGCTTACGGTAAGGGTATCATTAAAAGGTGTGGCTTCTCTCCTGATGCTTTCATTCAAATGGCACTTCAACTGGCCTACTACAGAGTAAGTTATTATTATTAATCATTTTTATTAATCATTATTATTAATTATTATTATTAATCATTATTATTAATCATTATTATTACTTATTTTTTATAGGATAGTGGCGGTAAATTTTGTTTAACATATGAAGCTTCAATGACTCGTTTGTACAGAGAAGGAAGGACAGAGACAGTAAGACCCTGCACTATAGAGGCAGCTCAGTTTGTACAAGCAATGTGCAACCCTCAATCAACAGTATGTGGGTGTGTCTATCATTAATTATTAATAATCGTTTCTATTGTAGAAGGAAGAATGCAAGAGGCTCTTGAAGGCAGCAACAGATAAACATGTCCTTTCTTATAAAAATGCCATGATAGGTAAAGGGATCGACAGACACTTGTTCTGTCTCTATGTTGTATCACGTGGTAAGGATATACCCTCTCCATTTCTAACATCTGTCATTAATGAACCTTGGAAACTCTCAACCAGTCAGGTAGGTATCTTTACTGTACTTTAGAATGGGTATACTGTACTTTAGAATGGGTATACTGTACTTTAGAATAGGTATACTGTACTTTAGAATGGATATATTGTACTTTAGAATGGATATACTGTACTTTAGAATGGGTATATTGTACTTTAGAATGGGTATACCGTACTTTAGAATGGGTATACTGTACTTTAGAATGGGTATACTGTACTTTAGAATGGGTATACTGTACTTTAGAATGGGTATACTGTACTTTAGAATGGGTATACTGTACTACTTTAGAATGGGTATACTGTACTTTAGAATGGGTATACTGTACTTTAGAATGGGTATACTTCATGTACTGTAATTGTTATTCACTTTATGCTGCTATAGACACCAACACAACAAACTGGGAGGATGGATTATAATAATAAACCTGATCTAATATCATGTGGAGGTGGCTTTGGACCTGTTAGTTCATCCATTTTTCATGTACTTACAGTCACTGACTGTATCATCATTTGCTGTAGGTCACTAAAGACGGATATGGTGTTTCCTACATCATTCCTGGAGATTATTTGTTTTACTTTCATGTGTCCAGTTTCAAGAGTTCCCCTCACACTGATTCTAGAAGGTTCTCTGGGAATATTGAGCAAAGCCTGTTGGATATGATAGACCTGTATGATATTGTAATAAAGAAAGAGGATGGACTCCAGTATCCACCTAATAAATAATAAATAAAATAAAGAATAATAAATAGAAATAATTCAGGAACAATAGAAGATTAATTATGGATTGTAGTTATTCCAATACTTTATTTTGTTAGTTTATTTATTTATTTTATTTAAAAAAGAACTTAATCATTGAGAGAATGGCTAATGAAATGAAATGAGAAATTGAACAGAATAAAAGGAACAGCAGCAGCACCAGTATAACAGACTGTGTGTGTGTGTTAGCATTAATGAAACAATGACTGTATGTGTTAATGGAGGAATTGAAATGGTCAAAAAGTGTCATCATCATTGATTATTAATTTATTTCTTCTTGTCCCTGCTGGTCTTTGAACTCATACAGTCAGCAAGTCCCAATAGTCCAGGCCTTGGATAGAGTGCATCATCAGGATAGATGTGAGTTGAAATACGACTGTCCATAGAGTACTCACTCATATCAGATGAGATAGACCTGAGCGTCAATAAAGGACTATCAGTAGTAGTTTGTAACTGATGAGTATCCATTGAAGAATGACTACCTCTGGTACCCTTTGACACTACAAGGAGGTTAGGTAAAGGTGAATTGTCAGACATTACGTATGATTTTGTCATTACTTGATGGTGAGTGGTGTGCAGGAGGTATCGGCTTAGGGGTTGATCCTTTTCTATTCTGATCGTTAAAGGGAGGGGGCGTGTCCTCTTTAGAGTGAGAATGAGGAGGAGAGAGGAGGGGCGGGTCCTCTTTTGATGAGGTTATGTGGGTGTGTCTATTCCTGGTTCGTCCTTGAGGTATAGTGAAGGACTTACGTACACTTGAATGAACAAAGGAACTGTGAAACTGGGCTGGTAGGACACGCCCTATTATTAAAAATAATAATTAAAATTAATAGTTTTTGCTCCTTAACATTCATTTAAACAAACAATATAAATAAATAAATGAATATGAATAATAATAATACACACAGCAATTATGATATATGGTAGTTATTAATAGTTATTAATATGCTAATGATTTCTTTGATTTAGTATGAGATACTTTGACCTTATCTGTAATTAATAATAATAATAATAATACACTCTTGTTTAATTAAATAATATTAATAATAATATTAATTAATTACCTGGGTTGCTCATGACCCATGCAATGCAGCTGAACGGTTCCTTCAAGCTGTCTCTATCAAGAACTGATGTTTCATACAATTGAACTATTATGAATAACGTGACCAATCATATTACTGTTGCTATGGTTACCTCCTTCAGTTTTTGCCCAATCCAAAGCAGTGTCCATCTTGACTTGTCTGATTCCATCAAGATCATACTTGTTGCCAATGGCAACCACTGGAAACTACATCAACAGAGAGTAATTGTAGAGATTAAATGAGAGCGGCTCAAAGTTTTTGGAAAAAAAATTTTATTTTTAATAGAGGAGTCTAATTTGTATTTCAAATTTGCCAAAATATTGATCTGGAAAATGACCAGCTATACAGTGTCTTACTTCTTTATGCTTGAGAGATATCTTATGGCGAATTAACTTTAAAACTTCAAACGAGCTTTTACTGGCAATGTCGTAGACTAGTACAATGCCCTTTAGCAAGAACAAGTAATTAAAAACGTTTTATATGATATTAACTTACATCTCCAATAGACAGGTAATGCTCCTGATCATAAGACACATCTCTTGATCTTTCACTAGAAAATAACTAAAACTCATTAATATTAGCCACACCCACAAGCATGTACGTACATTTCCAGGTGTATCGTAAAGCTGAATGGCTTCCTCCACTCCTGGCTCAGTCTCTATCACTGCCTCGTAAATATCACCAATCGTCCTGTCAGTAGTCTAGAAGAGGAGGGGTGGAACATTAGTCCAGCTGTAGTGTCTTACCACTCCTATTAGGTGATTCCCAAATATCAGCTGCTCAATCAGAGCTGTCTTTCCAACTCCAGGCCCTCCTAATACCATCAAACGGTATATCTTATTCACTGGCATCTTGTACTTATCTTACACCATTGACATACATTCTGATATTATTTCTAAAAGAAAAATATTCTCTAAAATAGAGTAATTTCGGTATTGTAGTTATTAAAAATGTAAGTTATTAAATGGGAATTCCCCTAATTCCTCTCTGACCAATGAGAATGCAGGTAGGAATTTGGTGGGAACAATCTGACCAATCAGATATAACAAAGGAGGTGGGGGTGGTCACATCCTGTGACGTCACTTGTATTAAAATGGCGTCACAGAGGGAAGGGTATTAGTCATTGGCTGGTTTACGTTCTTGTCATTCTTTCAATTCTGTTTAGGGCCACAGGATTGCCATTCCGAGGATTATTGAGAATCTCTTGGCCAGTGCTTTACACTCTCTCAATAGCATACAGGGAATTCTTTAGCCTCTGTCTCCGGCCTCTTCTCATAACTATCATTTCAAGTTAAGTATAACCTGCTAGCTCTTGTGTCTGTGTATTTGTTCCGCTCAGCTGTGGATCGACAAGCATTTCTTCTGTAAGACAGAGTTGGTATTTCTATTATCTCAGCAATCTTGAAAGAGAGAGAAAAGAGAAGGAAGAGAGAGAGTGCCGTTATACAGTCTAAACTTTATTGCTGTGTTTCTGTTTCTTCTCCAACTTCTGGTAGGTCTGTCCTTCTGTCTCTCATAAACAGCAGCTACAGTAAGTTGGTGTATATTGTTCTTTCTAGTCTAATATCTGTTTCAACCTTTCTCCCCCCCCTCTCTCTCTCTCTCTTAGTTTTATAAATGGATTCTCCTCAACATATTCCTGGGATGCCTCCAGCACCTGGTAAGTTATTGCCTTTCTCTTTCTTTCTACAATTCTTGTTATTAGCCATTCAGCTATGTTAAAAATGGTGTTTCATTTTACACATTGCTGATAATTATTTTTCTAGAATGCGTGCATTATAAAATACATGTACATGTTCATGTTCATTATGAATTGTACAGTTATCATTTAGTGTTTATGGGGTACAGTGCCTCTCCTCCCGTTTGTAATGTATTGTGCATGTTTCCCAATCCTTAACAAGAATTTCAACTATGTATATTTCTAATATGATAAAGCATGCACTAATAATGTACTCCATCATATGCTTATGTGTGACACTCTCCCTCTCTCTCTCTCTCTCTGCCCACCAGGTGGTCCACCTGCTTCTAATGGTGGTTCTACTTCCAGTGATGGTGGGGATGGTATTTCATCTGACGTTAATAATGACGCTGAGGGGGTTTGGTCCCCTGATATAGAGCAAGCGTTTCAAGAGGCTCTAGCGATATACCCTCCCTGCGGTCGGAGGAAGATCATCCTCTCGGACGAGGGAAAGATGTATGGTAAGGCCATACCTGTGTCTCTGTATGTACACAAGGTTTGATGGTTTACTGGTCTAGAGTATTCATGGCATTTGAATATGGTTTACATTTATTGAGCTTTATTGAGAGCTAAGAACACAACCTTTGTTTGTCTAGTATGTTATTTTTACCATAAGTCCCCATTTCTAAAATAAAGTGATCATTGAGAAGTAGGAGCTATAAAATGTGTGGAGTGAATCTTTATTTATTGTTTGCAGTTATTAAATTATGTTTATACAATTAATTAGGCTGATTGGTTTTTAGAAATGATATATATTTTAATTGTTGCTGGACACATTTTTTGTTTTTAGGAATTAATGATATTTTATTAATGGAATTTAATATTTATTACTGAACACGTTCACACCAATTCTACACATGTACATGTACATACCATATATGTACATGTACATATAAGGATATATGTACATGAGTGTTTCCTCATTGGAGTCCCTTCCTTCACTGTACATTTTCTGGTTGTTTAAGAAATGCACCATTTAGGAACCTTTTCCATTACATATACCAATCATGTATACATTGTCTTTGGTAACTGCTTCAGTTTGTGGCATAGGAAACAGTGTCAGCTACCATTAGCTAGCCTCTCTCCCTCTCCCTATTGCTGTGAGTACATGTACAATAGTTAGTGTACAGTGGGTCCCTATTGCTCTATGTACAATAGTTAGTGTACAGTGGGTCCCTATTGCTCTATGTACAATAGTTAGTGTACAGTGGGTCCCTATTGCTCTATGTACAATAGTTAGTGTACAGTGGGGTCCTTCCTGTTGATAATGATGGCAGTCAGTCCAATGTTTAATTGGCTGTTGGCCTAATCTCCTCTTAATGTGAACTTGTCTCTCTCTTGGTAAAGGTTCTTTCTTGGCACCAGCTGAAATGAAATATTTAAAATTATGATACTTTAACACATTAACAGTATGGACAAGGGCCTAATTAGGAGCTTCAGTCTTTTGCAATTTTTAATGTCTCCCTCTCTCTCTCTCCTTCCCTACTTCTCTGTCTCTCTCTCTCCATTTCTGTATAATGTGTATATAAATACTTCTTTATGTCATGAATGTATTTCTATAAATAGAATACATAAAACATACATTTATATGTATAATGTACATGTATTTATTATCATTATTATTATTATCATTATTATTATTATCATTATTATTATTATCATTATTATTATTAATAGGTAGGAATGAGCTAATAGCAAGATACATAAAATTAAGAACTGGCAAACAAAGAACAAGAAAACAAGTAACAATGGAGAGAGAGAGAGAGAGAGAGAGGGAGAGAGAGAGAGAGAGAGAGAGAGAGAGAGAGAGAGAGAGGGAGAGAGAGAGAGAGAGAGAGAGAGAGAGAGAGAGAGAGAGAGAGAGAGAGAGAGAGAGAGAGAGAGAGGAGGCTAATAGTATTCATAGTTACACTATTAGTAGTGGAGTGTCTGTGTGTAGGAGTATTGGTTTGTGTAGGAATGTAAATGTAATTATTAATCAAGAGTCACTGTACACTAGCCACTCATGACCATGTACTCTCTGTTATTGTATCTATTTGAAATATTTATTTATTGTATCCTTAACAATGAAGTTATGTGTTCCAGCCATTGATTGTCTCAGGATGATGGATGACTATATGTATACCAATAATGAAGTGTACTCTATTGTTTTAATTTGGTATTTACTTTCTTGTGTGTATTTTTAATTTTGAAAGTGACAGTAGAGTTTACAATAACAACCCACTAATAATTACTAATAATACAATTACTGAACTATAAATATGCATACCGTACATATCCTATATATTCACTGTAGGTATCCAGCCACATTCAAGTGTTGGCCAGGAAGAAAGCAAGAGAAATACAGGGAAAGATAAAAGTAATGGATGAATGGCAGAGAGGAAGGGAGAGGGAGAGAGAGAGGGAGGGAGAGAGAGAGAGAGAGGGAGAGAGGGAGGGAGGGAGAGAGAGAGGGAGAGAGAGGGAGGTAGAGAGAGAGAGAGAGAGGAGTGTGTGTGTGTTGTAGCCTACTGGTAGGAGTGTAGAGAAAGGAAGTTGTAAAGTAACATACGTGTACATGTACATACACTGTACATTATACACTCATGCACATGTACATATATGTACATCTACCACTCCCAGCCAGTGAGTGTGTGTGTGTGTGTGTGTGTGTGTGTATTGTTAATGTAAACATTCCTAACATTCCATTGGGAAAAACACCATCCCTTGACACAAACCACTTAACCTATTGTACTTAGCCTCTCATTATATACTGCATATATTAACTCTACTACTGCTTCTTCTCCTTACTATTATTAATAATTATAACTAATAAAGCTTTCCCCCATCATCATTATTATAATGATTCTTCCTTCTGAAGGACCAGGCTGCAAAGGACAAGGTTATGGCTGGCATATCAAGCATGTCTTCAGCTCAGATAGTCTCAGCATCAGCTATTCATAATCGAGCAAATATGTTTGGAATGCCAGGAATTACTGGCAGTGCAGTACCAATGCATACAATGCTAACATCACCTGGTAATTAACTATTAATTAATTAATTTAATTTAATTGATTATTAATCAATTGTGTAGGCGGTTTGACAAGTAATCCAGTTGTACTTGAACAGAAAATAGTAACACACCCAGCAGCAGCTGGACTGGTACATACACACCCACCATTACATCACCATTACATCACCATTACATCATCATTACACCCTAATGATACAATTATACTTATACATGTTCTTATGTTGTGTTGAAATTTTGAACTGATTCCAATCAAGTTAGAACATTTAAAAAAATATTTAAAGTTTCTCCGGAATCAGGCCAAGGTTCCTGTACTACATACAGTACAGGGATTTTGCTAAATTTTCCAAAAATTGAAAGAAGAAAATTCTTCATTTTTACATTTCCTGATACATATTAATTATTCATTATTATTATTATTAATAGGTGGCAGGTGCTGCAGGTCCATTCATTACTGTTAGCTCTCCAGCTGGTAATAACCCAATGTCACCATCCTTTAACACTTCACCTGTAAGTATAATTAATTATTTTATTATTATTATTATTATTATTAATTAGCGTATTGGTGTACCTGGTTTTGTTGTTACTACCCCTACCGAGCCCCAGCCTCCTGTAGTTAATCTGGTCAGTGTATTATTGATACTGTTCATGTTCATATTATGAATCATTATATTCAGCCATTAAGAATGATTGAGTTCTATGCTTTTGTTGATCAGTTAAAGACAGAATCAGAAGCTGTGAGTACTTTACTAATACACATATACAAGATGGAGATTATGTTTATTCCTTTTAGGGTAAGAAGCATTTGTTTGTTAATATTGAGCCTTCCACTAACTTTAGTGACCCATCAATGGAGGTGAGTGGTACTGTATTGTTGTTTACTGTATTGTTGTTTACTGTATTGTTGTGTTGTTTACTGTATTGTTGTGTTGTTTACTGTATTGTTGTGTTGTTTACTGTATTGTTGTGTTGTTTACTGTATTGTTGTTTGCTATTGTTATTGTTGTACGAATGAATTAATGATGTTTCTAATTTGGCTTGTACTTGATACATGACGGATTTACATTTGGCAGTAAACAGCTCCTTATAACGACACTGATACTTATTGATACTGCTTCCATTAATAATGTACCTGTACAATAATAATAATAATAATAATAATAATAATAATAATAATAATAATAATAATAATAATAATGTGCACCCTGTACATTCTATGTTTTAGGCTGTTGATATACGGCACATTGCTGATAAGTTTCCTGAGAAGAATGGTGGATTGAAGGAGCTGTTTGAGAAAGGTCCCCAGGACAGGTTCTTTCTTGTTAAATTCTGGGCTGACATCAACACTCCTTTACTTGATGACTCTAATGCTTTCTACGGAGTAACTAGCCAGTAAGTAATGACAATAATAATAATAATAATAATATTAATGGCCTTGTTTTTATAAGGTATGAATCTCAGGAGAATATGACCATTTCTTGTTCTACTAAAGTCTGTTCCTTCGGCAAGCAAGTGGTGGAGAAAGTAGAGGTATCATTCACATATTAACCTTCTTCTAGTGATGATGTCTTCTTGTTTTAGACGGAATATGCTCGTTTTGATAATGGAAGGTTTATTTATCGAATAAACCGCTCACCAATGTGCGATTATATGGTTTCTTTTATTCATCGTCTAAAACATTTACCAGAGAAATACATGATGAATTCTGTACTGGAGAACTTTACTGTACTTCAGGTAATGGAGGGAGTATGCATAATATAATATTATTACTGGTTTTTGAGGATAAGAAGTAATGTTGGTTTTGCAATGATTCGCCTGAAATAAATTCAATTTAAATTGACATTTTCCTGATATATTTATGATAATTATCATCTTCTCAAAAACCAGCTCTAACCCATTATTCATTGATTGTTAGGTTGTGACGAACAGAGAGACGCTGGAAACCCTCTTGTGTTTGGCCTATGTCTTTGAGATCTGTACCAGCGATGATGGGCCCAAACACAGGGTTTACAGACTAGTTAAAGAAAGCTAAAGAACTTTAACAGTTTAACATTATACTTTCATCATACCATTCTTTTTAATTATTTTATTTTATTATTTTATGGTTTTATAAACCATTATCCACACACACACACACACACACACACACACACACACACACACTAATGTAGTCCTTCTTATACCAATTCCTTCTCTCTCTCTCTCTCTCTCCCAATAATACAATATCAAATTTCTTTATTTTAGAATTTTATTTTTATGACGTACACACACACACACACACAATCACTGACAATAAATAACATCATTACCCTCCCTCTCTCTCTCCCCCTCAATATTCCTTATCATTCACATTCTACCATTTTTAAAAATTATTGTCTAAGACAGAAGGAATAAGGAGAGTTAACAACAATAACAATAATAATAACAACAACGATAATAATAACAACAACAACGATAATAATAATGGACATGTATTGTGTAACAGTTATAGTGTTGTTGCTTGCAGTTTTTAACTAGAAGATTGCTGAGCTTGCATTATCAATGTCACATTATCTCCTCTTAACAGAATACGTCCTACAGTGACTCCATTAATTATTCATTTAATTAACTAATAATTAATTACCAATTCTCTTTCTTGTTTCCGTTTTTAAATACACTTCTTCAGCGTCAGACATAACCAAATTCATAAACTCATCAAATCCCTACCATTAATAACTATCATCACTAACTATTATTAATAACTCACAGTAATAACTCCCTCTATTCTCATGTTCTGTCTACCATACAGCCAAACCTGAACTCTACTTTTCTATTAATTAATTGATAATAATAATAATAATAACGACACTTACATTCTGCAGGTACCTAAATATTAAATTCTAAAGTCGCAACAGTTAAGGAATATAACACATAATAAGTACATCAACAATAGATCATTAATGGTAGGATACTATTGGCTGGACCATCACTTTCTGAACTTTCTGTGCTCTATAGGCCATCTTGAGTCACTGGATTAATGGCAACGTGCTGCTGGGGGTGTGGCTTAGCTGGGCGTGGTTAGTGTAATAGTAGGTGTGGTTTCTACACATGTTTTAAAAGGACAAGGTATGGAGCGGCCTCAAGTGGAGACTGTCCTCCAAACACTCTACACTCTGTACAAGGCCAGCCCTAACGACCTCTCCAGACAAGCAGCTGCTAATGAATGGCTCACTCAACTACAGAAATCAGTAAGAACCGCCATATAACTGAATGGGACCCAGTAGAGTGTAAAGTAGGACTGGTTTCACAGTGTGCCTCTACTGAAGGACCTCTACATGTAACTATTAGTATCTAGTACTTATACTTAATGGACTGGGGGCCTGTCACTATGAGGTGATAGCACGAGGCCCATTGGAGGTCCATCAGCCATTACATTAGACTCCTCCTCCCCTAGGTCTATGCTTGGGATATCTCCAACCAGCTCCTCTCACTGGACACTGACGTAGACTATGGGTACTTTGCCGCTCAGACCATGCAAACAAAAGTAATAATGATGATGATGATGATGATGATGATGATGGTCATGATTCTCCTGTTAGATTAGACATTCTTTTAATGAACTGTCTGTGGATATGCACATTGTAAGTTATTAATTAATTAATTAATATCAATTAATTAATTTTGTAGCCATTACGTGATTCATTGATGAATCATTTAACCAATCATTCAAAGACCTCCTCCCCCATTATTAAACAGGTCTATCAATCATTAATTATTCATTATTACTATTATTAATTGTTATTAATTGATTACAGCTAGTACTTGCCCTTGCTGATTTAGCTCTACAGATGAACGGATGGGGTTCTGTAGTACAGGATTGTATTAACAGGTTAAGCCACACCTACTAACCACCCACTGCATGTGCCCGTAGGTTCGGAGGTGATTTCATTACAGTTCCTGTTCTCTTGGAGATACTCCTGGTCCTTCCTGAGGAAGTTGGTAACAGGAAGTTACGACTGGGGGAGAATACCAGATTGAAGTGGAAGGAGGTCTTGGGCTCCGAGTGTCCAGTAGTGTTCCAACTCTTAGAGTCTTGCATTGGGTGTTGGCCCAATGAGGAAACCATTTTAATTAAAGTATGTACATGAACTGTTGCTATGGTTACTGGTCTTAGGTCTACAGCTGCCTAAGCTCCTGGATTGTTTTAAAGTCTTTTCCAGTTGACAACCTAACCAACTCCTCTCTCATAGTATCACTTTTCCATACTTTGGTAAGTCAGCCCTCAAGTCCAATAATCACTTCACCCTTTCTTCTCAACTGCAGCACCTCACCAAAGTAACACTAAAACTCTATGAATCAGCAACCGATTGCATCTGCTCTGCTCTCTATGTCTGTGATGATGCTGCTATGAGTGGCTATGCTCCTCTTGCTCTAGTTCTCAAGAATCATGTCCACCAGCTCCTCCCAGTCTTCACTGCAGCCATTGAAACTGAGGACTCTAACAGGTCTCAATCAATCAATCATTTATTTATTTACATGTATTTTATTTTATTTTATTTTATTTTATTTTATTTTATTTTATTTTATTTTGTTTTATTTCTAGAGCTAATTGCTTGGCTAGAATATTTACAGAAATGGCTGAGAGTTTACTCTTCAGTATAGTGCATTATCCTGACACGCCCCTCGGAGACATAAAGACATTTGAACTGTTACTACATTGTGCTGAACACTACGAGTTTGAGGTAACTGTACATATTATTGTTTATGATTCTCTTGCCCCTCCCTCCCTCCCTCCCAATCAAGGTCGTTGAAATGACGTTCAGTGTTTGGTACAGACTCTCAGAGCTGCTGGGTAGATCTAGAGAAACTGAATTTGATGAAAGATTCAAACCTTACGTACTCAAGTTTATAACTTACCTCGTGAAGCACTGTCAACTTAATGATGATCTAGGACCTGTGCGTAATTAATTAATACTATTAATTAATTAATTAGTTTATTATTATTATTATTATTAGACTGAGTTACCAGATGATAAAGATGATTTCATGGACTTCAGACTAACTGTTGCTGAAGTACTGAGGGACTCTGTCTTCATAATAGGATCAGTGAACTGCTTTGAAAGGGTATACACTGGACACATCATTAATAACCATTAACATTATCATTATTAATGCACTGTGCATTCATTAATCATTATTATTATCATCATCATCATTATTATTATCATCATCATTATTATTATCATCATCATCATTATTATTATCATCATCATTATTATTATTATTATTATTGTAGTTATACAGTGTATTTCGTACTCCTGGTCAGTCCTGGATTGTGTTGGAATCATGTTTATACTTAATGCACTCTGTAGCTTCATCTATACCAAAGTACCTATTAATTATTATTAATTATTAATTGTTATTATTATTAGAGATGAGTCTAATGTCCTACCAATAGCAGTCCCAGTGTTGGTCTCCATTCCTCCTGACACTCACTATGCCATTAGGTGTACCACCCTCAAACTCATAGGAGAGCTCTCTCACTGGATTGGAGCCCATCCTCACACTATGAGTCAGTTGATAATAGCAGTTAACAATAGTTGTGCCATTGTGTAGAAAGGTTAAGGTGATTCCAATCAAAATTTGATATTTTAGGATTTTTAAAAGTTGCTTAGAAACCGTGTCACCAGGCCTGTACTATGCTTTTTAAAAATGGCCATAACTCAAAAATTTATTATTGGAATCAGCTCAATTTGTATCAAAAAAATGTAATAAAAATTTGGGGTAATTTTGGAGCCATTTTTAAAGAAAAAAACCATGGGCCATGGGCCATTTTTTAGAAAAACCTTGGGTATTTTTCTAAAATTGGCCCATTTTTTAAATGGCCATAACTTTAAAAATTGAATTTGGAATCGCCTAAAACTTTTTACACAGCATAAGGACATCAATATGTATCAGAAAATGTAATAAAAATTTGGGGTGATTTTTGAGCCATTTTTTAGAAAAAACCATGGACTATAGCCTTGGATATTTTTCAGATTTTTGCCGTTTTCTTAAAATGGCCGTAACTTGAAAAATTGAAGTCGGAATCAGCTTAAACTTTCTACACAGCATAAGGGCATCAATATGTATCAGAAAATGTAATAAAAATTTGGGGTGATTTTTGAGCCATTTTTTAGAAAAAACCATGGACTATAGCCTTGGATATTTTTCAGATTTTTGCCGTTTTCTTAAAATGGCCGTAACTTGAAAAATTGAAGTCGGAATCAGCTTAAACTTTCTACACAGCATAAGGGCATCAATATGTATCAGAAAATGTAATAAAAATTTGGAGTGATTTTTTGGCCATTTTTTGGAAAAAACCATGGACTATAGCCTTGGGTATTTTTCAAAAATTGGCCCGTTTTTTAAAAAAGGCCATAACTCGAAAAGTTGAGCTCGGAATCGACTCAAACTTTCTACACAGCATAAGGACATCAATACGTATCAGAAAATGTAATAAAAATTTAGGGTGATTTCGGAGCCATTTTTTGGAAAAAACCATGGACTATAGCCTTGGGTATTTTTCCAAAATTGGCCCGTTTTTTAAAAAGGCCATAACTCGGAAAGTTGAGCTCGGAATCAACTCAAACTTTCTACACAGCATAAGGGCATCAATATGTATTAGAAAATGTAATAAAAATTTGGAGTGATTTTTTGGTCATTTCTTGGAGAAAACCATGGACTATAGCCTTGGGTATACATTCCTTCAGTGTATCTTATTAATAGATGAAATATTGAGATTCATACAAGATGGTTTCAGTATTCCGGTATTGTCCAGTTATTCAGCAGCTGCAGTTCAGAGTATTTGTCACAAGTGTAGAGGACAGTTAGCTCATTTATTTGAGAGTTTAGTGGTCATCATACAGACTGCTGACAACATTGGAATGAGTAACACTGCTGTGGTTGGACTCATTACAGGTAATAAGTACTAATGATTTATAGGTTTATTATTATTAATGATTAATAATTATTATTGATACTTCTTCGCAGCGTCAGTTGAAGTCTTGACTGGAGTCTCGTCTGATAAAATGTCATCATGCCTACACGCACTGTGCCTGGGGAGTGCTCAACGGCTAACTCAAGTAAATAATAATTAACTACTAATAACCATCATAACTACTAATAACCATCATAACTACTAATAACCATTATAACTACTAATAACCATTATAACTACTAATAACCATCATAACTACTAATAACCATCATAACTACTACTAACTATTAATTAACAGATAATGCAGGGTAATATACCAGTCCAGGCCCACAGTGTGTCTGATCCTGCCCTGTGGATGGACAGGATAGCTGCTGTCTTTAGAACCTGTGAATATGAACCAAAGATCAATGAAACCCACCCTGGACTCTACCCAGCAAATGAAGTAATGAATTAATAATATTAATTAATTAATTAATTAATTGATAATAATTTATTATAAATAATGTTTTTATTCTGTGTGGATTAATATTACTTCATTTGATGCGTGTCCTCTATTCCTGTACTGTAGGTGTGTCCATTAATCTACAGCACGATAGAGTACTACAAGAGAGACAGTCGGATTGTGGAGAGAGCCTGTCGCTGCATTAGGTTCATCCTTCGCTGTCTCAAGGCTCAAGCAGGACCTCTTTTAACACCTCTTGTTACCATGGTAACACGTACATAATAATAATAATAATTATTATAATTATTATTTCTTCTCCTAGTCTATATCAGTGTATCAAGAGTGTAACCACAGTTGTTTCCTTTATCTTGGCTCCATTATTGCTGATGAGTTTGGTTCAGACCCCTCCTCCCAACCGGGTCTGATGACTATGGTCGAGTCATTCCTCAGTGTATCGTTAATATTATTGAGTGGCCCCGGGGGGCTAGTCAATCATCCTGATACTGTCGACGACATGTTTAGACTCTGTGCAAGGTGGGTTTGGTCTGTTGCTATGGTTACGTCAGTAGGTGTGGTTTACAGGATGGTCCAAAGGTGTCCAGTAGTGTTCCTAACTAGCCCAGTCTCAGGGACTGCCCTTGAGTGTGCCAAAGCTGCCTCTCTCCACATACACAGGGAAGCTTTCAGCTCAGTCATGAAGTTCTTTAAGGATCTCATCCACGCACCATTTGACATTAACCTGGTCAGTAACCATAGCAACCATGGTACCACATTCTCTTGTATAGACCGAAGAGGAACAGGTTACCGTGACAACAGTCGTCAATCACATTCTAACAGAGAATGGGCAGACACTAACCAACAGTAAGTCATGTATTGTTGATTGATTGATTATTGTTGATAGGTCTGGTCGAAGGATTCGTTACTTTACAGACCTACATGCTAGCTGAGTCAACTCCTGTCCTCTATGAACTACTCACTAACTATAAAGATGTAGTTATTAATTAATTCATTATTATTGATTATTATTGTTTTTATTAGGTGACAATGAATTGGCTTTCCAATGCCATTAATCATGTTCAGTTCAATAGAAAAGATAAAATGACAGACTCTCAAAAAATGACATTTTTACAGTCAGTACAACAGTAAGTGTATAATTAATAATAATTAATTAATTGACTATAATAATTATTAAGAGCTGATTCTCAAGATACTTTAGAAGACGTCGCGAGAGAATTTGTTCGACTTTTTAGATAAAACAATTTTATGTATTTATGAAATGCACACACACACACACACACCTTTCTCATTATTAATTTTTACATATTAATGAATTAACTAGTTTTAATTAATTAACTAGACACTAATAGTTTTGAATATATTAAATCCGTTACCAGCTGTACTGACCAGTACACCTGGTAACTGACAGTGCCAATGTAACTCCTTTATTTCTTCCTGTCCCTAGAATTTAACAAATTAAATTCATAATAATGGTTCATCATCATTATTCACCTGATGAATGAACAGCAGTTGTGGTGGAATGTCCTTCAAACTATCATTAGCTTGACAGCTGATGCTAGCTTCATCATCTTTTTCAACTGAGAGATCCCATTGGACAATCTAACAACAGAAAAACACACACATACAATACCAATCACTTGCTAACTGATTGATGTTGGAATCAAAAATTACTCAACTTTAGGTGTTAGGTAATGCAATGGCTGAATCTTGTATGAATTATTTTGGAGCAACTTTGAAAATTCGTAAAAGATCCAAACTTAATTGGAATGAGTTCAAACTTTCTACACAACATAAGTACATGTTTTATCATTCAATAATTTGATTACTTGATTGTCTTCACTAGCTGATGCAAAGACTGAGGAGTCATTATCATTCCATTCGACAGATACCACTGGTTTGGTGTGATGGCTGAACATTGATACAGCTGCAGTCTCTTGATTACTAACAAGAACATGTTGTTGCTATTATTATTATTATTATTATTATTACATACCTTTGTATTAATCTTAGGTCCCATATTTTCAATAAACAATCATCTCCACCAGATACTATATATGGTTCGTATTTGTTCCAATTGATTACATTCACGTCAGATTCATGAGCGTTGGCTAGTGCTATCATACATCCTTTAGTGGGAGGAGCCCTAATATCCCACACACGAATAGAACCATCCGACGAACAACTTGTAAATACCTAATTAATAACAATAACAACAACAATAACAACAATAACAATAACAACAATAATAATAAACTAACTGTTGGTTCATCATGACTCCATTGTAGATCTTCTATTGAGTTCCTGTGGCCAGTGAATGGTCTCTTATCAACAGTCCAGGTTCCTCCTTCTTTATAATTCCATATATGGATATTCCCGTTATTGTCACCCGAGCACATTCTACCAGGCACCACTTCATTCCAATCAAGACCGTATCCCTCACACTAGGTGTTATTAATAAATACAGTAATTATCTAATTAATTAAATAATGTACTTTGTGTCCATTAAAAGTATGCATTGGTTTTTCAATATGTCCCCTGATTGAAGGGGCTCCCCCGGTCCCTGGACTGTCCAACATTAAACAATGTTTAGATACATCCCATAAATGAACGCTCCCCGACTCCGCCCACGTGGCCACAATGGTGCTAGTACGTATAGGAGCTACCTGAAGAACAATATCATTAATTAATTATTATTAATTAATCATCATTACTCTTATTCTGTTGATGGTTGATGTGTGTTGTATCATGACAGTCTCTAGTTCAGGACTTTCATTCTCAAGTTCATCATCATCGCTTTCATCATCATCTGCCACCAATAATCATTCATCAATACTCCAGCCATTAAATTATCACAAATACCTTCATTTGGTTCCTTCAGTGTAGAGTGTAGTTGATGCATTTTCATTAATATAATATGGTTTTGTTTTCCCAGTTCTGCTTGAGTCCCTCCCACTAGGTAAGCTGTCATTGGGTAGGTCGTCCTACTCTCCCCCAGACTGTCCTTTAGTATATCAAAACTTAAACAAGGAGCACCTGTTTGAGCCTAAACCACACCCAGTCCATTAGTAACTATTAACAAGTAACAACTAGCTAACGTACAGTGTGATACATGTGATACGCTGATTGATCGTGTACTAGTTCACCTTCTCCTTCTTGGTTTGATAGTCCTGGTATAAACACTTCCTATTCTCATGGATTATATTATTGTTGAATTTGTATTTACTTTATCATCATCTTCCTCTCTCTCTCCTTCTTCCTCCATTTCTTCCACTATAATGACACATTCAAAGATAAAATGCAGTGAATCTATTGTTATTACCATACTCTTCTTCATCCATTGTGACAACACGTGGGTAGATCCGTATATTAGATGGGTATACTTACTCCGGATATTAGTCCATGTTTGTTATTGTTATCACATTCCAATGCTACTCCTTTGGGATACTACAGGTTGCACTGTCTCTTGTAGCTATAGAAACTGTCAAATTTCTTTAAAATGTTAAATAAAATTATCACAAATTTAAAAGTAAATTAATTATTAATTACTGTAGTCCAAGTTGTGCATAAAATAACTCATTCACTAGCATAAAGTTTGCCAAGACGTACTCTGGAGTCAGTATATGATATAATGTAGTGTGTGTGCGTGTGTGTACATGTAGTTAGTGCAAGTGTATTTAGACCATGGTCTCCTTCCCTCCTTTTGCTGGCGGTTGGAACATCAGTTTTTGTGGCGTATCTCCAGCGAAAGGTGATTGTGGTGTTATTAAGTCATCGAAATCTTTCAAAACTTTAGAAAGCTCCATCGTAAGTTGGTCCAGATCTCCTCCACTGCTAGTTGGTGGTGATACAGTTCTGTTAGGATCCTTCACTGGTGACAACGGGCCGTTAGTTCCCCTTGAGTCAGTAGACAGTATATTGTGGGCAGGGGACAGAGCTGGAGGATAAGACTCTATAGTCTGTTGTTTATGTAAAGGACTCATTAAACTAACAAGGTTAGGTGCCCCCAGTTTATTAGGAGGTGATAACTGAGTCTTAGCTCTGCTACCGTCCAATGGCTCCAGCATATCATAAGTGCTTTGAACTGGTTCCTTCTTTGCAAAGGCTCCATTAATCCAGCTGCTGGTGTGTTGCTGAAAGCTTAAAGGCTGGAGTGGTGCTCTCTGTGGTGAATGTGTTAAGTTAGCTCCTTGAGTATGGACTACAGGAGCTGTGTATCGGCGTCCTGGTGAAACCTGGTTCTCAGGAGCAGACCAACCAGTATGAGTAACACCTTCTTGAGGAGGGGGAGGGAATATGGACTGATCGTTGATTGTTGATTTCACAGGAGTGGCAGGGAACAATGGTTGATCAATATCGTCATCACTTGACACTCCAGGAGGCGCAGCATTAGCTGAAGCCAAATGTTGCGGACTTCCACCAATAGAAGAATCATCCTTACTGCTCTGATGGCCCTCCTCAGAAACTAATGGTTTCTTTTTTGACATTCTCAAAGATCTGAAGGAGAACTTTCCCCTATTACTCCCAATACTGACTTGCTTTCCCTTTGACTCTTTCTCTTCATTGCTGCCATTCTTCTTATAAAGGACCCCGTCAGTCATTTCTTCAGGTATTCGTCCACGTTGTTTTACATTTTTTTGGGACAAAGCTCCAAGTGAAGCTGAACGCTGCTGACGCTGCATGGACCCTTCAAGTTCCATCTGACACACGTCGGTATGGCCTGATGTGATACCAGAGAGATGACGGAATTCACAAGGAAGAGAAATGTCCACTTTTGCTACACGTCTTACGCTATCAACCGAATTACGCTTTTGATTCTTTTTCTCTTTTTTTGAGGAACGTTTGTCAGAGCTCTTCAGAGACGATGATCTTAAAGGACTCTTGCTCTTCTTTTCTTGAAGCAACTCATCTATCCTTTCTTTCTGTGCCATGTACTGGACCAATGAATCATGAAATGAAGCCGATTCACTTGGATCAGCAAATTGTACAGCCATTGTTTGCCCTCTGATTAAAAATGAATGAAAGCCAGGCTGTAGTTCCGAGTACTGGACCAATGGTGTTATCTCTTCTTCCCACAAAGCAATCCCGGACTCTAGCTCAGCTATGGCAAATTTGACTTGAAAGGGAGAGTCAGGGGCTGTCGTTTCCTTCAGTAAGAGTATGCAGGGGGCACCATAAGCAATGGAGGACCATTCTCCTTTACCGAGGACAACCAACCGAGCAGTAGTGTTGAATACAACCACCGAACTTTTTCTACTGCTCAAAGATACTTCAATTCTCATTACAGTCTCGGGTGCCAAGTGCCTGTGCGAGGGACTGGTAGTTCTCCTCCTATCCATTGCGTACTACCCAGAGTAAGTGGTCCTTCTCCTTTACGACAATGAGAAAGGGAACTCGATGATTTTAGAATGCGACATTCGAATAAAATGTGCAAATCAAATGTGGGAGGGGCTCATTCTATACACGCATACACGCAATTGTAAGTTTGTAACACAATCTGTGATCTTGTTACAGCACAGTCACTACTACTATAATGGTAGCAATATTCTCAGTTATGATATTAGCAGCTAGTAATGCAGTGGAAATGTAATTAGTGGATGTTGACAAGTGAAGTACTGTTTATATGTCATTAGCAACTAGCTGTTACATTTTTATCAATTATAAAGGATGCAGCAATCCTTGTATTTACTGAATACTGTGTATGTAGGAATCTCAATATCAACAAATGACTGAATTGCTCCAATTATAAACCAATAACCTGTACAGTGTACCTCTGCACTGTGTTGTTATTGAGTATTAATCACTGCAGCGTAGTGTAAAAGGTCCTCCATATGGAGGAACTGTTAAACAGTTAATCTATATATAGCATCATTAAAAAGGTAAACAATAAACAATAATTAACTAAAGTAAGTGATAAATGGTTTCAAATATTAATAACAGCTATCTGTGGCATAAGTGTCATTTCCTACATAGGGTCCGTAGTCCATTAATCCTATACTATCTGTCAGTGCGTGTGTGTATTAAAAGGTTTCTTATGTTGCAATTTGAGTTCTGGGTCTACCAGAGTACCGATACCTCCAGGAGACCAGGTCTGAGGGATGTAATCCAATCTTGAATCGCCTGTGGTCAGTGTTAGGCTTATAGTGATAGCCGCAGGTTGGTTTGAGCCTAACCGTGTAGAAGGGACTCATTGAATTGGAACCAGGAGTGTGCTCAATAGCTGTATGGGGGCGTCTCTTTGACAGACTATATTCTTTCTTGATAGTTAATACCTTTCATTAATAAAATAAAGAAATATAAACTACCGTCTATCTGGAAATTTTTACTGTGATTTAAATTTTACTGGATTAGAATTTCGCAAAAAAAATTAGATTACCCATATAATTACATGCCACATTCAATAATACATAACACAGTCTTATTTAGTAAAAATTAAATCACAGTACAATTTTAAACAGCAAAAATTTTCTACCACACTAATTTCCTGATCTACGGTATATCCCAACTGAGTTTGACCCAAAAAAAAACTGGAATAACTTTTTATAGGAATGAGGGACAAGGATGAAACTTTCACAGGTTCTTAGTCACCCAATGCCATCACAAGATCTCAGGTCTTGGGTCTCTCAGCCCTTGGGAACCCTGAGAACCAGGTTCTCCCTATAAACCCAATGGCAACCAAAATGATGTTTTATGACAATTATTTACCATGTCATAGTTTACATAAGAGCATGTGGTCAAGCGCCCAAACTGATAATTCTTGTTTTTAAAAGCTAAAAGAGCAAGATATTCTGATAACGATTGCCTTTATTAAGTCTAGTTGACTCCAGCAGCTATTGTACTGCTTATCAGAACAAACAAAACACATTAAAGAGTGCAATACAGGCCAACTGCACAGCTGTAAAATGTCGCCATGCTTCTATGAAATCATTATATAAGACATCATCAGTGACGTATGCCTACATTTTTAAAATTCCAAGCGGCTGGTGTCAAACTCAGTTGAGATAATTATAGTATCATACATGAGACAGCGTTTAGTTATTCCATACAAGACTATGCCTCCACACATGACATTACGTGTACTGTTGAGTGTTCATATTAATACAATGTATGTGGATACCAGCTGTGTTGCAATCACTATTACTAATCATACAGTGAGTCACACACATTAAGAGTACAGTATGCATACTTGTCTCTGCATGTGCCTGGAGAACCTCAGAGTCTCGTATCCGGTTGCCTTTGGCCAACTGCTCATCCAGTGAACTGCTACTCGTCCATTGTAGGCTCTATGATCCAACATACCTGAATTAGGCATCTTGTATGAGTATGATCAGAGAACAAGACTGAGAGAGAGAGAGAGAGATTCTATCCAATAAATTAACTAGCCCCACCTATTCATAACTGCTGGATGGGTGTGACTAATAATTAAGTAGTCACACCCACTCATTTCAAGATGGCATCCAGTATTGAACTAATTGATTTCAGAGCTGAAGGAATCCACTCTCTTAAAGATATTGGGTATGCTATAAATGAAGGAAGAGTATCAGAAGTTCTACCGTCCAGTAGCTCCTCAGTCTATTTGAATATAATCACACAAGAAGACAAAGAGTTCTGTGTATTATTGGACAAAAATGGATACCAGGTATATAACTTATAATGGACACTTTGAGGTGGTAGAGCTCTTGTATCCACTGACCTAATCAATGAATGGTGGGGCTATGTCTGTCCGCCATGTTGGGGGTGAATGGATAGGACCTGAATAGATTCTGCTGTTGACATTTGCGGCTAAAGAAGGTAGAAAATGGAGGCATCAAGTAAAAGATATTCTGCAGCAAAGCATGTACGATATCTCATTAATCAATAATCCCAGTTTGTTGAGTGTACCACCCAACGTGGCGGACAGGCCTAGCCACACCCCATTGATTGCATTAGTGCAAGACCTATTGGTGAACATTGTCACCTAATTTTACTTTAACTATCAAAATTAAGTCAAATTTTATGTTTTTTTGTTACTACCAAAATTAAGTGTTTTTTGTTATCAACAGGTTGTTGGATTCAAGTGCGACTGTGTTGATGAGGGCCTGTCTCTTTCAGTTTATGAAACTATCTATTCATTAATGGACTCCATCAGCGATAGTTATAAAGTATCTTTTAATACTCAACTATTCAATAAATTAAAACATTATCAACAAGGCAATAAAGATGAAAAATAAATAATTAAATAAATTGAAACTAAACGAAAAATTATTGACAATTATCATAGGCTAACAATATTGTTGCTACTTGAACTATACTACATGATTAAAGTTGTGAATCATTGTCTTTTCTTGCTGATATATCTTGTGTCAATGAAACAAGGATCAGTAGCTAATATACTCCTACAAAGGCTCTAAACAGTGTTCATATTAGTCATTAGCTTACTTTACAACATATGGTTTCTGTTCTCTTATTGTTTTAAGTGGTTCGTATTGTATACCATGAGAATGAACACGTGTACTTTTGGTATAACCGTCAGACCTGGTACAGTATCTAACTGTATCAAGAACTGGCACTATTGGCAATGCTGGCTCACTAAAACTGTATAAAAAGATAATTATTACAGGGTTTTCCAAAGGGACTTGGTATACTGCTTAGCGTGATCAAATTTGGATTTTTTATGGATTTTTAAAGTTGCTCCAAATGTGAAGCTCATGCTGTTTAGTTCACTTAGCATGCTTTCAGTTTGTGAGTAATAGACTTACTGATCTCCTGATGAAGTATTGTAATGTATTTGATCTGGTGGTGCCTGATGTGGCAAGGTATTATCAGTATATCCACTTATCTCCTATAGTAGACATTATTGAATTATAATAATGAATGTGTTCTTTACTTTCTTTCCAACTTCATTGCTCCATTTGTTGGCGTAAGGATGAATATTTTGTGGAGTGTGAATTATTTTAGAGTATGCTGTGTATTGCTTTGGGTGAGTTATTAAACTGAACCTGGCTGGGTCTAGCTTATGTTTAGCATGAGCTAATCTTTCTGGTACTTCATGTACTGCAGGATCCTACAGTACAAATATAAAGGATAGAGCTCACTAGCATTCTGTACTTTAAAATCTTGCGGTTCTGCTTTCACTGGATAATGGTTGCCCTTGACGTATCCATTAGATTCATTAGCTCTTCTTGAAGTACCTGGTATTGATTCATTCCCAGTCATTGGGCTCCATCCATTGTAATCTTTCTTCATAATACTGCTCCCTGTTGGCCTCCATGTATAAGTACCTGGTATTTCACCATTGTGACATTCAGTGGGTCTGTAAGTGAGTGGCTCTACATTGAAAGAGTGAACGTATCCACTCTTCTCTTGTCTGCTGTGAGTACTAGCGGCTCCTTGCTCACTCCCTCTGAATCCTTTCCTCGGATACTCTACCCTGTACTTGGTATTGGAACTAGCTTTATGAGAGTAGAGTGCTCTTGTGACTGGAGTGTTGTGTGTGTAGCCTGAGGGGCCCAGTTGTAAAGCATTAGGTAATGACTCGTATCCGTGCAGTGTAGCTGGTCTCTTAAAATCGATAGACATTGAAGTATCATATACTGTATGGAGTATATTGCTATAGGAGGAGGAGGAGGAGGAGGAACAATAAATACATGTACATGTACACACAACATTCCTTAGATTCCAACAGATAATTAAATACGTGTACATGTACACTATGCACTTACGCTACACTAGGGTTCTCCCTAAGGTCTGTCTCCTTGTTGTAATAAACTGCTGGTCTAAAGTTAGCAGAGTACCCAGTTCCTTTGTGCCTCCAGTCTTTAGCGAGTGGAGGTCCTGTCCTTCCATGCTGTGTAGAATATGTAGTAGAGTAAAAGTGAAGTGGGTAGGGAGAGGGACCCTGACTAGCTAGTATGTGTCTCGTACCTGGACCTATCGAGGACTTGCTGAATGCTGTAGCCATGGTTGTTTGGTTGCTATGCAACTGATTCCGTAATCTAAATCGGTATATTTTTGCAAGTTGTATTTAGCATTTCCGTTTATTATTGGAAGTCCGTATATCTTACTACACAGGCCCGTAAACTTGTGGCTTGTGTGTAGAAGGAGAGAAGCAGAGAGTGTCTATATACTTACTCTACCAGTTATGAGTGGGACTGACAGAGGATATGGGGTTGGCCTAAGTCCCAGTGCTTGGGAGAAGAGGAACAAACAGCTCCAGAACTGGGAGTCTTCGGACACTAACCACCAGCCATCATATCCTCTACCGACTAGAAAATCAAGAGTTCACTTTTCTAAGGATGTCATGTTCCTTGCTGCTGTTAATGCCGGGGACGAGGAGGAGGTAGAACGGCTCTTAACTGAAGAAGGAGCTGACATTAACTGTCGAAATAATGACGGATTGAGTGCTGTTCATCAGGTATAATCTCTTTGGTATTTAATTATTGTTTGACTGTTTTGTAAACTAACAATTGTACCTAATGCATACAATGTATTGTTATTGGAGAGAGGGGGAGAATAGGGTACGTGTACATGGTATATTAGTTTCTAAATGAGGTGTGTATGTACATGTTTATACAAGAGAGGGAGAGAAGGAGAGAGAGGGAGAGAGAGAGAGAGAGGTTATTAAAGTGAGTATAGTATTTCCCCAAGGAGGTACAATATTCTCTCCCTTTAGAATACAGAATATATTTACTAATAATCTAATAATGATAACACCTACATGTGTGTGTGTGTGTGCTTAAATTGATATCATTATTGTATGTCTCATACGTCCAATTGTCAATTTGAGATAATGTCAATTGTCATAATAATATCAGTCTAAGTGTCTGTTCTGTATTGTGTTATCAGCATATTTGTCATATGTTTCAATTATTGTACTGTTTGATTCAAAATGGCCTCCTTGTCCCTATATATGGTAAAGCTTGTTGCCAGGTTGTACGTTACATTTATTGCTGCTCTTACATGTTCTCTCCTCCTCTAGTGTTGTATCGACGATGACATCGACATGCTTAAGGTGATCATCAAAAGGGGCGGAGACATTAACTCTGTTGACAATGAAGGATGGACTCCATTACATGCAGCTGCTTCCTGTGGATACATACATATTGTCAAGTATGTCATTTGTTTATTTATTTATTTATTTATTTATATTAATATACAGGTATTTGTTGGAATGTGGTTCTTTTCCAGCTTCTATTAACAATGATGGCCAAACTCCCTCTGATTTAGCTGAGGATTATGATGAAATAGTTGAAGTATTGCAATCTGAAATCAATAGACTAGGTGAGGACAGCTGGTGTGAGACTGTTAATATCTTGTTACTAAAAATAGGAATTGACATTGATGATATAAAGTGTGAGGAAGAAAGGCGCATGTTAGAAGATGCCAATAAATTGCGTAACAATCCCGAGGTTGAATCTGTTCTTTGCACTGGGGGAGCCACCCCTCTCCATGTGGCAGCTGCCAAGAACTACACCACAGTACTGAAGTGAGGAATGGATTGATATAGCTCTGTTTATGTACAAACATGTTACGAATGAATGTCATTAGTGATATACAATATCAACACTCCCCCCTCTCTCTCTATAGTGTCCTTCTCTCTATCAAGGAATTGGATATTATTAATGCAAGGGATGACGATGGTTGGACTCCATTACATGCTGCGGTTCACTGGGAGAGCATGGAGGCTGCTGAACTCTTAATATTAAATGGAGCTAACGTATTTGCTAAAACTGATGCTGTAAGACTAACAGTACATGCACATGTATTAATTAATTAATTGTTAGGGTGAAGAAGCAGATGATCTTGTTGATCCAGAACTAGAAGAAGAATGGAAAGAATTGAAGAAACTGAACAGTGTATGTTTATTATTATCATTATTATTATTATTATTATTATTATTATTATTATTATTATTATTATTATTATCATTATTATTATTATTATTATTATTATTATTATTATTATTATTATTATTATTATTATTATTATTATTATTATTATTGTTTAGCGTATCAATCCCGAACAAGAAATTACAAGAAGACGTTACCAAGTATCTCGTCGCTCCTCCAACACCTTCTCTCATACGAACAGTGTCGATAACAAGTATCACCAGCCAATCTCAAGGAGGCACTCGAAAGAGAAGCTGACAATGAGAGACATGAAGAAAGAAAAGGAGGACATGATTCAGAGTTTTGAGAAACTAGACGAAGAAATTAATAATTCTAACTCTAGTCCGCAGACCACACCTACTTCTCAAGTTTGCCCCACCCCCATGTCTAATATTAACAATAACTCATCACCAATTCCAGTACCAGCAGGATCTACTGGTGCCCCGCCCCCAATGATACGCACTAACAGTAGCGGATCCAATGGGGGGAGCCCCAAGAACAGCAGGAGGAAAGGAGAGCTGTCAAAGAACATGCTGGACAGATTGAATGTGTTTCAAAGTCCAGCAGGACCAACTGGCAGTTCATCAGTTACCACATCAACCCCTTCACCTTCCGTTAGTTCTAATAATACTAACACTGAACGTAAGTCACTAAGAATTATTAATAACTATTAATAACTATTAATAACTCATTAGGTAAGAAGATAGATAGTTCTGAAGCAACAGTTCGTTTGCGTGTTAGTGAGCAGACAGTAGGGGGTGTGGCTAATCCTAAAAACAGGTTTTCGTTTCAGCCTAAACCGGTAGCAGGAGCAGGCACTCCTCAAGGTAAAACAATGTCCCTTGAAAGAGGAACGGAAGCAAGCCTTATCAAAGAGACTAGCTATACGCCTCCAGGAGGAGCAGGAAGAACTATTGTCGAATCCAAACCAATCAGGAAGCATCAAGAACCGACCAATACTAGCCTATCAGAAACCGTACCTGCTGGACAGCAAGCCACGCCCACTGGACAACAAACCACACCCACTGGACAACAAGCCACGCCCATTGTGGAACTAGCCACACCTACTAAACTTGACAGTTCGGCTACGGATAGCAGCAGTATTTTGAGTGACAGATCAGTAACTACTCAACCTGAAGCAAGGTATTAATATTAATAATCACTTGTCACTAAAATTACTAATATACACTAATTACTATTAGTTATTATTAATTATTATTAAATATATTAGGAGAAGAACCAATGCCAAGTCAAAGAGAGAGGCTCGTAGATCCACTCAACCTTTACCAACTGACCTACTGGAGAGGATTACCAAACATGATCAAATGGAAGAACAACAACTGAACACAACAACTGATGGACAAACAACAACTGATAAACAAACAACAACTGATAAACAAACAACAACTGATAAACAAACAACAACTGATAAACAAACAACAACTGATAAACAAATGTTGGATATAGCTAGGTAAGCTCTAATGGTTTTAATTATATTTTATTTATTGAGATAGTTCTGTTTCCAATCACATTCAATCTACTGAGACCACACCCACAATGACTGTACCAACTTCAGTTGATCGTGTCACTGCTTATGGTAAAGGAGATAAACGTGTATCGTTGACCACACCCACCACTAGCCAAGTGACCACACCTACTTCTGCTAAAGAAGATAAAACATTACCTGCTGGTAGCCCAAAGGATCAATCAATCACAGGTACCTGATATTGTTAATATATCCAGACTATACTACACTTTAATATCCATTCTACATGTGAAGATAAGCCAGTGAGCTAAACAGCATGAGCTTCATGAGTTGACAAGCACTTCAAAACAGTACATGGCGTTTGGAGCAACTTTAAAAATTAATAAAAAATTGAAACTTGATCTAAATCAGTTCAAACTTTCTACATAACATGAGAACATGTATGTAATTACGTATCCGAAAAAAATTAAGAATTCTCTCCTTTTCAATTTTGGTGAAATTCAGCCAAAATCCCTGTACTTTTTTGAAGTGGGGTGAATCCTACTTAGTAACGCTACCGCGTTACTAATATACAAGGAATTTTGTCCAATTTTGGAGCAACTTTTAAAAATCATAGAAAATCCAAACTTGATTGGTATTAGCTCAAACTTTCTACACAAGATAAGAACATGTACATGTACATGTATGAGTATCAGAAAAAGAACTCTCCTGTATCAATTTTGCCGAATCTCTGTGCTGTCATTGGCCTGATTTTTTCAATAAACTTCCACTTACAGGAAGTTGCACTAGCACTATGTCAAAATCCTGTGAGAAACCTTATCATATTATTATTAATAATTAATTAGAAACCTCGAGTCCGTTGCCTCGTACTAAATCAAGTACCAGGAGGAAACCGAAAGAGAAGAGGAGAAGTACTGGGATACCGACTGAAGTATGGTTCATTAATGATTAGTAGGTGATGTGTGTATTATTAATAGGTTGACTCTGAGTGTGAGATTCCTGATAATTTAAAAGGTATAATTAATCACTCAAGATCAGAATCAGCTGATAGTAATGACAGTAATGGGCTAGCTAATAATGTGTAAGTTGGTAATCAATTAATTATTATTTAATTAATCATCAATTAATAATAGGTTTGATATACAAGGTACTGAAGGCTCGTCTGTTTCTAGTGCTACAATTGATTATTATCAACAAGAAATGGCTTCACTTAAAAAGGTATGGTACACGTTTGGTATAGTACATAATTTATTATTCATTATTATCAGCTTTTATCTGACGAGAGGAAAAAGAATGAGACCCTAATGCACACGTATCATCACACTTGTAACAAACTGGAAACTGTTGAAAAGGAACTGAACGAATTAAAAATAAAGTTTGATAAAGAAAGAATGGAGGGAGAGCAAAAAGAAAAGAGAATAATACAACTGGAGAAATCACAAAGAGTGGGTGTCACCATTATTAATTAATTATTAATGCATTATTTCCTTTTAGGGTATTCAAGAATTAAAGACAGAGAATCAAAGACTAAAAGACGAGAATGGGGCATTAATTAGAGTAGTTGGTAAACTGTCACGAGCCCCTTTTAATTCATAAACACACACACACACACACACGCACGCATACATACGTACATATAGAAAGAGAATATCTAATCATAATGACTTCATTAAATCAAATATTTTATCATTGTTAATGTAACATTGGTGGTGTGGCCAAACCACACCCATATACTTATAGTTGTGATTAATTTAACTGTCCCAATCTTTATTATTATTATTATTATTGTTTTGTTTCATTCCATTATTAATAAATCAACTAACAATGTTATGTTCAGTCATCCTGAGACTGTTTCTCGTTGATCCTAATGCAGTAGCAATAAAAGAATGAATCAAGTACGAATAACTTACTGTGCATAAAACTTGTGAAGTATTTTCCTGTTTCTCGTTAGTACGGTTGGTTTACTTGACCAGTTCAAAACTGATTCAATTAACTTTGACCAATTGATACTTAAACCCTGTAAACATGATTAATTATTCGTTATTATTATTATTTATTAATACTTTCACTTTGTGTCCCTTTATTAATCTCTTTAATATTGATTTATCAATGCACTCCACAACTGATGTACTGAGCAGACAATTAATCAATAGAATAATGAATATTAATTATAGTTACTCTTTTGAAGTCGCAATGATTTGTATCCATGTATCAATAAAAGTCATACTCTGTATCTCAGGAACCTACAAATGAATTAATTAATTATATTTATTATCAGTAATGAGGTGTACTTTAACATGAGATGAAGTCAGTTCTGGAAGGAACAGTTCAATAACGTGGAGCAACACACCCACACACTGTAATTAATTGATAATAATTAATAAAATAATTAATAACATACTTTATCACGCAAACTCAATATTGTCTCCGTAATTATTGTAACACAGCTAAAAGAAGGAAATAAATGCATCAACAAATAGAGCATCTATACCTAAGAGGCCAATTGTGTCCATTAAGATAAGTGAACATTTCTGATGAGAAACGTCTAATTAACTAAAGACACAAATTAATAATAAATTCTAATTAATAAATACCATATAGAATTTGTCCATTCTTAATCTATCAATGAACATCCATTCATTTGCCATGGTCTCAAAAAATATTTTACAAAACATTACACCTAACAAATAAATAACAGTTAATAATCAATAATAGAGAACTACTGTCGGTAGTATAGTACAGGGATTTTAGATGAATTTTTCCAAAATTGAAAAGGAGAGAAATTGTCAATTTTATAAAAGTTTCCGATGCATATAAATGTTCTTATGTTGTGCAGAAAGTTTGAACTGATTCTGATCAAGTTTAGATTTTTTATGATTTTAAAAAGTTGCTCCTTGGACAAAAGTCGCTGTACTATAAATACAGGGACTTTGGTCAAATTTGCCAAAATTGAAAGGGAGGAAATTACTCAATTTTATTACATTTTCTGATACATATACATGCTCTTATGTTGTGTAGAAAGTTTGAATTGATTCTGACCATGTTTGGATGTTACCTTGTGTATAATCATTGAATGAATGAATAAGAGAAGCAAGATCACTGGCTAGTTGTTCCTATTAATAATAACAGTGTGTATATATGCAGTCTATTAATAGTAACACTCACCTGCACTAACGGTTTATCACTCATGAACATACAGGCATATAATCCTTTCCACAATCGTCTCATTTCTATTTCCTTCATTCCTTTCCTTCCTTTGGACCTAAGCCATTTCTTTAGTTCATTCTCTGAAGCTTGTCTCGTTTTGAGGTCATTACTGGCCAGCTTTCTTGCCAAAAGAACCTCAGGACTTGCCATTTTAGCTTGGCCCCACCTTCTTCAATTTATTTGTACTTTAATAGACATGCCATGGTACATGTGATAGCACGTGGGTCAGATCTCTTCGCGCATGCTCAATAGAGTCAACCTAATTATAATTTATTTCTATTGTACACAAGTACACAACCTGTCTCCTGTTCTTTTAAGATGTTTGAAGAAGAAGAAGAGGTTGTAAGTTTTATCTTATTATTGCTATTTGACATTAATGTTTTAAATGAAAGCCTTCAGAGACCAGTAAAGAGGAAGAGATATATGTCCTTCTATTCAAACAGTGTGATGAGAAGAGCAATGGTTGGGTGACAGTCGATAAGCTCGTGAGTACCATACAAAGCATGTTACACTCCTCTCCAAGGAAAGGGGAAGATGTATATGACTCTGAACAAAGTGTAAGGGACCCACACTGGCAGTACACGATACATGTACTCATTAATAGGGACATGAGGCTCAGTATAACCTGGAGTTGTTGAAGTGTATGTTAGATAATCACTCCATTAATGGTGAAATTAATGAAAAGACGTACATTCATGTGATACGGCACTGGGTGAAGGACCTGAGGGGCCGGTCAGAGAGCCCATGTTACAAGTCTCCTAATGTCAGTGGAACTTCTTTCAAAGAAGAAGATAGTAGTGTAAGAGAAGGGGGCGTCGTCTATTTATCATTATCATTATTATTATTATTATTATTATTATTATTATCATTAATTATAGTATCAAGATGGAGTAGCAACTGCTTTATGTGAGTTTATTAATTATTAGAAGAATGTTAAACATTGAGGGGCTGATCCTAGCTCAATTATTTTATTCATTTTATTAGTTCAAGAGAGTTTTGAAACAACTGGCGGTGGTTCCTCACATCAAGAATTGTAAGGTTAATTAATTCAGTAATTAATTAATCATTGTCTTTAGAGATGAAATGCAGTTGATTAATGAACTTCGGACAGAAAAGAAAAAATTACAAGATAGAAACCAGACACTTTCACAACAGGTAAGACTCTTTATTAATTAGTGTGGGTGGGGATTATGTAGTTAAGTAAGTACAGATGAAAGACCTTGTACTTGTTGAATGATCCAATCTTAGTTTATAATACAGTACTACTCGAGTGTGTAGTTTATTTTTGGTCTTGTTACCTAGATACAACAAAGTGAAGAGACTACGTTACAATTAATGAATGACAACAGTGAAATGTTAAAGAATATTAAAAGGTAATTTATGATAAAAATTGCTCTTATTATTATTATTATTATTATTATTATTATTATTATTAGTCAGCAACAGAGTATAGCAGCTTTAGAGAAGGTCAAAGAACGACATGAAGAATTATTATCAAGATGTAATTAATTGTTATTATTATTATTATTGTTATTATTGTTAGGGATTGATGAGGAGAAATCAAATGAAGAAACTAAACAGAATTTGGAAACATTGGTGAGTCATTATGAGTCACTATTAGTCATCATTAGTTAGTCACTTTTAGTATTCTCAAGTTCATACTTTAAATTCTGAAGTTGCTCACTGGCAAAATGAAGCAGTTTCATCACAAGAAGAAAAGGAGAGAGTTATGTCTGAATATGTTTCATTGAAGCAAACCTTGTCACAAAAAGATGTAATTAAGATTAAAGTATTAACTAATTGATTAATGTTTAGGAGCTGATAGCAAAGCTGGAGACCAACAATTTCCTGTTGCAATCAAACGTTGAAGAACAGACCAGAGAGACCATGGGCCTCCGTCAGGCACTGAGTCTCACAAAGGAAACTGTGGAAGACCTACAAGTGGAAAACTCTAGTTTACACAGTCAACTGAAGGAGCCGATTTCAAGCACCCCCTTTAGACCCCAGGCTCCTTCTCTCAGAGATGAACTAGCTGAAAATGGAATCTATTCTGGTCTGTCTCCAGTGAGCTATATTAATACTACTTCATCTGATACATCAATGGAGGTCAGTGAGGATAGAGGAAACATTGACATCATCACTGAAAGCAAGAGCACTTTTGGTGATAGAATATCTCAATCTGTTAGTTTAATAATAATGTCTGTACACTCATCTCGTGTACATGTACCTTTTACAGAAAGAGAAGTTTGCACAGAAGGCTAGTTTAATGAAGAGACAGCTCTCTGACCTCATCGATGCACCACTGACCACTAGCATTGGGGCTGAGAGCAGAACTGGGAGGGACAGTTTCACTAGCAACAAAGAGAATGAGGAGGTCTTTGAAGCTAAACTTAAGAGACTGGCTACTGAGAAAAAGAGCAAGAAACAACGATCTCAAAAATTAGAAAAGGAATTGAGGAATTTGAGAAAAGAGAACGAAATATTGAAAGAAAGATGTGACCAGTTACAGACTGAAGTTAAAAATAAAGTAATTAATTGAATCTATTGATTGGTTGTTAATTAACTCTATCACGATTAGGTACCAGTTGTTGATGAATATGTCAAGGGCCAATCAAGTGATGTCCATTTATTATTAACATCAGCACCACCTGAAGGAGCAGCTGCTACTAATTCTCAGAATGGAGCCAAGTAAGTGATGGATGATTATATAGTTTTATATTAATTAAATTATTTAGACCATGTACATCACCTGAGGATAAAGAAGTAATAATAATAAAATGATTTTATTTATTTATTTATTTATTATTTTATTAGTCGGTTGCTGTAAGTGTTCAAACAGATGTGAAATCTAGTGATAGTCCAAACCACACCTCTTTCATGGAAGCCACACCAACTTATACAGCATCAGATTACGAGTCACTTCAAGCGGAAGTTTTGAAATTGAGGTAATGAGGTATTATTGATTCATGAAATTCATTATTTTTCTTACGACAAAGGAATGAGTTAGAAATTGCTAGAGAAAGTTTAAAGTTACATGTTCCTTTGAAAGGTAAAATGGAAAGGCCTTTAGAGGAAGGACCAGGAGTTCATACCTTAGAGCAGCAGCAGCAGCGGCAGGAGGAGGAACCGACTCCAGCTGGAGCAATGGAGAGGTATAGTGTCACTACTTTACAAGTTAATGGTGTGATTATTATTTTAATAAAGGGGACAGGTGCTGCTGTCAGCCACACCTCCTTTTGTTACGTCTTTTGAAGGAGATCAAGCTTTAGAAAATGAACAGTTGCTAACCTCCGCCCAAGAAGAAACTAGACTAGAGAGGTACCAGAGAACAGACTAAATGTACTTGTATTATTATTATTATTATTATTATTAGTATATTGTATCAAAGAAGGTCTGTGACTCCAATGAAAGAAGTCAATGAAGATGTGGCTGGTGATACCTCAAGGTATGCTTAGGTGGAATGAGTACTTTATTGTTTGTGTTTGTTCAGGAGTCAGTTCCTATCTAATGTGTGCATGTTCACACTAAAGACACTGTTGTGGCTCTTGTTGTGTACAGTGCTATTGATACTTCTGTTTCTGGCCCTTGTTGAGTTCAAATCAAGTTTGGGTCGTTGCAGTATTGGACAAGCTTGTTCCCGCTCTCCCTTAAGAATGATTCTTGGACAGTACATTCAGTATACACACACTGGTGAAGTACCTGTATGACTTTGCCTTATTATTAATCAATGATTATAATTGTTATTGCAATCTTTAAAGTTTCTAAAATCAAATTTCACAAAAATTAAGGAAAAGGAATTAATCAAAGTTATTAATAGCAGAAGTTACTGTTTGATAGCATTATTGATCTGTCATAGATTGCAGTTTACTGGTATACCAATGGAAACTGGTCATTTTACTGGGAGGAGTCCCCTAGTTGTGTGTTAGGAGTCAGCCGTACCCTCAAGATCTATAATTGAGGGGGACCCAGAAGGAGAAAAGTGAGTAGGCTATGAGACAATTTGACTGAGGGAGACAATAGATGCCAGGAAACTAACTTGGTGAAAGAGTGGAGCCTGAGAGTTACCAACATTGACATTAAAGTCGCCTACTAAAATAGTCTTTGATGTGAAACCAGGCCCAAGAGAAGAGAAGGTGTTAATCAGGTCACTAATAGCAGTGGCTGAGGTGGGAGGTCTATAAAGAGGACACATGAAAGCATTGAGAGTGGACACAAATGGTAACAGTTAACAGTTCTAGGGAGTGAGGGGGAAGCTGGAAGACTGAGGGCTGGAGGCAGGACTTAGTATAGATAGCAACACCACTGCCATGACGAGAGTGGTCAAGGCTGAAGAGAGAATATCCAGGAATATATAGTTCAGAGGACAAAACTTCAGGGCCAAGCCAAGTTTCAGAAACACAGATAAGATCAGGGGAGTGAAGGAGAGCAGCAGAGATGAGTGGGTGGAAGTTTGCAACTATACTACGGGCGTCGAGGGAGATAATGGTCAGTGAGGAAGGAGACGACGTCGAGGACCAACTGACCGGGATGGGACAACTAGCTGCCTGTGAAGATTGGTTGGATATAGGAGAGGGGGAGGATGAGCGAGAGAGTAGAGAGGGAGAGGATGAGGAACTTGAAGAGGAGGATGAGAGCGAAGGAAAGGGGGAGGAGTGTATAAAGAAGGCTGATGTCTGGGAGGAGTGTTTTCCTCGGAGGCCAGTGGGGAGTCAGAAGGACTGACTTCCTGGGTGGGTGAAGGTGAGCAAGGGTTGAAGCCTTGAAGGGAGAGAGGGAGGAGGAAGAGTTGTGGGTTGGAGAGGAGGTGGAGAGAGGGATGAGGGAAGTGAGGGAGGAGGGGGAGGAAGTGTTGGAGGACAGGGAGGAAGGTTGGGGGGAGGAGGAGTCCTTGGAGGGCGGCCAGACAATAAAAAAGAATTATCAGGAGGGGGAGGAAGCTGGGAAGCTGAAGTGATACCAGTTGAGGAAGAGGTAGCCAGAGAGTTCAACTTAGTAGAAATATCTGCAAGAGACAGGCGAATGGAGGAAAGCTCATCTTTGACAAACACGGACTGCTGTGAAATGCTTGAGCTTCAATGCTATGGTAACATTCGGAAGTGTTGTGTCCAAAGTGAGAGATTTGCCTCCTCCTTAGCTGATGTTTTGTCCAATGAACCATCAAATTATATTTATAATCATGTATGCATGGACAGTACACACATCAATGTAAAATGGGACTCTGTCATGAGCACAGGTACATACATAAGGAATCAGTAAGAGATTACCCAGCTAAACTTAGAAACAGTTTAATGTCATATTTAGGACCCTAAACTTAGAAACAGTTTAACGACGAGTTTAGGACCCTAAACTTAGAAACAGTTTAATGCCATGTTTAGGACTGTTAAAATCTAACAAAGTATGTAGGGATTTGACATGCATTTGACTACACATTTGTACACATTATAACCTATGAACCTTAACATCAGATATTATGTGACATGAACTTTGCTACGTGTACATTCCTATCTTAATATACCATACCATTACCTCCTACAACTTGTACATTGTAACCATTGTCTATCATATGCAGTACAGATACTTCAGACCATATAC